CTATCGCCTCTTCGTTTATAGACCATGTTATTCCTTTTTGTAGCTCTCTTCGGGCATTCAATTGTTTCAAGTATAGGGAATGATTTTTAATTTAGGGTTAGGTTTACAAGTTTTGCTAGAGTTAGGGGTAACACCCCTTCCCGAATTTATTTTTGATATATTGTTGTGTATGCTTTTTGTTTAAATTTATTAGGACATTTTATGGTCGTCATTGATTTCAGTCATTGTTTATTGACCAAGGCGGCGGAGCTAGAGAGTGAAATAACAACTTCTGAGATGGAAGTCAGAGCACTGGTCTAAGCTCCTCCTATTATTTGCTTTTCCTGTGACAAGCGATACTAGTCAAGCAGCTATGTCCAATTTTTCATCAGAATTCTGCAAAATGTGGTAAAAGCATCAAACTTGGTATATACGCTCCTAGCACCATTCTAAGCAAAATAAGATATGGAGCCAACCTGAAAAAAACAACTTCCGGTTTTTTCCAAGATGGCGGACAAAATTGCAAAAATTCTAAACTAAATATTAAAGAAACCGTTCACAAGATGGTAAAACAATGAAACTTTGTATATTATCTCTTTAGACCCTTCTAAACATATAAAGATATGAAACCAATATAAAAAACTATCAACTTCCGGTTTTTTGTAAGATGGCGGCTGAAATAACAAAAAAAAAATAAAACAAGTCAATAGGACGTTGCAATATTTACAAAAAAAATATATCAGATGAGTACAATTGAAAGTAATATATATATATACAGTAGCTGTTATATGCAATAACACGTTCATTCATCTTGTTTGTGTCGGTAAACCCTATACTCGCTGCAGTCCATCAGGCACAATCTCCACCACACTTGCCTAAAGCTGTATTCTGAAGGGCGGATTTGAAACCTTTGCATTGTCTTCGACAACCTTTCTTGCTGCCACAGTGAACAAGCTCCTGTAGTGAAGGGGTTGCCTCTGCCAATATTGTCTAGAACGGGTTCTTACATGCCGTTGTCTTGCTTTTTCCAACCATACAAGTCTGGGGATTGAAGAACAGGCTGTAAAAGCAAACACTGTTTCCATATCAATCCAGCTTGGTACACAGAACGTTTTGCATGTGGGGAAAATGCCTCTCGTTTTGGTGGTACAAACTCGATTGATCTACCTTTATGTGCAAAGAGCACTTTTCTAGCTTCATTTACACTGTTTGATTCACTTATCCGATGGTACAAAAAGAACAACATATTGCTCCAGCAATGGTAGAATTGAATCACCGCATATTGTCCTTGGTTGGTCTGCCATCTGTCTAAAAGCAGCTGATATCTCGGGGAAAGTATTCCATGTATCCCATGCTGTTTCTTTTCTCGTCCTGCAAATGAAGATACAATGTCGCAACCTGTAAAGGCGTGGAATATTGGTAAAAGCAGGGATTCAAGAGGACCCAAAGATTGTGCAATATCATGAATAGGAATGTAATGGAAATGTTTCCCGGTTGCAAATGTTATCCATATCTCACTCATCAGCTTCTGTGTCCTTAAATACAGATAAAGCGATCACAATTACGTCTGTATCCACAGTTTTAATGCTGATCTTTTTAAAACCGTCCCTAAATGCATCTGCAACGTAAAGCATAACTCTTGTAACAGTTTCTTCGTGTTTGCACGGTTTTAGTTAGGACTTGTCTATGTGTGCCTGGATTGAAATTAAATTCTCTCCAACTGTACAGATAACTTTCTTTTCAGTATTTGCTGCTTCTGTCAACCTTTTTCGATAGAAACTGAAACAGCTCCCTTTTATTCTCATCAACCCGTAGAAAGCCATGCCAGTTCTTAGGGATATTTGTTTGAGCTTGAACTCGCCTTCGAATTCCCTTCCCTCTATTTTCTCTGGTTGCACTTTTGAGGCTGTTTTCTACATATGTGTCCCATACTACATCAACGCGTCCAACATCGCTATTTCGGTTTACTATGTAGTGAAGAACACTTTTATCGCATAATCATGAAATGATATGCTGCACCAGGCTTGAGCATATTGACTACTGCTGCACCGTCAATTATTGTTGCATTCACTTGAGGGTTAACTATTGTTTTAGATATTAACGGCTTAAGACATTTTTTTGATAGATCTGACTTATCACACTGACGTATGGTCCCATTTTGATTCATGATGGCGGATTCTTCTGGTTACGGCGAAGATAAACTCTTCATTTTGTTTGAAGGTCTTCATATCGAGATGGCCATTTTAAAAAAACTATTGGCGATAGGCTGAAAGCGTCAGGTTGGACCAATGCTATTTCTTTTATGCAGTAAAATTGTTTGTTCCCTACATAGTAAACAGAAATAGCGATGTTGGACGCGTTGATGTAGTATGGGACACATATGTAGAAAACAGCCTCAAAAGTGCAATCAGAGAAAAGAGAGGGAAGGGAATTCGAAGGCGAGTTCAAGCTTAAACAAATATCCCTTAGAATTGGTATGACGTTCTACGAGTTGATGAGAATAAAAGGGAGCTGTTTCAGTTTCTATCGGAAAAGTTGGCAGAAGTAGCAAATACTGAAAAGAACGTTATCTGTACAGTTGGAACGAATGGGATTTCAAATCAGGCACACATAGAAAAGTCAAAACTGCAACCGTGCAAACACGAAGAAGCAGATACAATAGTTATGATTCACGTTGCAGATGCAGTCAGGGATGGTTTTAAAAAGATCAGCATTAAAACTGTGGATACAGACCTAATTATGATCGCTATATCTGTATTTAAGGACACAGAAGCTGATGAGATATGGATAGCATTTTCAACCGGGAAACATTTCCGTTACATTCCTATTCATCATATTGCACAATCTTTGGGTCCTCTTCAATCCCTGCTTTTACCAATATTCCACGCCTTTACAGGTTGTGACATTGTATCTTCATTTGCAGGACGAGGAAAGAAAACAGCATGGGATACAAGGAATACTTTCCCCGAGGTATCAGCTGCTTTTAGACAGATGACAGACCAACCAAGTACAATATGCCTGATTCAATTCTACCATTGCTGGAGTGATAAGTTGTTATTTTGTACCATCGAACAAGTGAATCCAACAGTGTAAATGAAGCTAGAAAAATACTCCACATAAAGGTAGATCAATCAAGTCTGTACCACCAACACGAGAGGCACTTTACCAACATGCCAAACGTTCTGTGTACCAAGCTGGATTGATTTGGATATAGTGTTTGCTTTTACAGCCTGTTCTTCCATCCCCAGACTTGTATGGTTGGAAGAAGCAAGACAACGGCATGTAAGAACCCGTTCTGGACAATATTGACAGTGGCAACCTCTTCACTACAGGTATTTGTTCACTGTGGATGCAAGAAAGGTTGTCGAGGACAATGCAAGGGTTTCAAATCCGCCCTTCAGAATACAGCTTTAGGCAAGTGTGGTGGAGATTGTGCCTGATGGACTGCAGAGTATAGGGTTTACCGACACAAACAAGATGAACGAACGTGTTATTGCATATAACAGTTACTGTATATATATTACTTTCAATTGTACTCATCTGATATATTTTTTTTGAAAATATTGCAACGTCCTATTGACTTGTTTTATTTTTTTTTTTTTTTATTTCAGCCACCATCTTAGAAAAAACCGGAAGTTGATAGTTTTTCATATTGGTTTCATATCTTTATTTGTTAAGAAGGGTCTAAAGAGATAATATATAAAGTTTCATTGTTTTACCACCTTGTGTATGGTTTCTTTGATATTTAGCTTAGAATTTTTGCAATTTTGTCCGCCATCTTGGAAAAAACCGGAAGTTGATTTTTTCAGGTTGGCTCCATATCTTAATTTGCTTAGAATGGTATTAGGAGCTTATATACCAAGTTTGATGCTTTTACCACATTGTGCAGGGTTTTTCTTATATTTCCTGGACTATACATGGCGGGACCGGAGAGTGCAATAACTAAAAAATCATTCAGCATTCTTTTAAAAATAACAGAATTTAACTCAATCGAGAACCAAAGGAAAAAGTACCATTCATGTTACTATTAATGTTATAGTCTTTGTGTCACTTTAGGTTATGCTTATCAGAAATAAAAAATAATCCGTAAGTTTTTAATGCATGTTAACATGTAGGTATGATTTTACAATCATAATGTCGTGAAATTTATGGAGTACTACTATCTGTAAATTTGATACCATGCAAATAAAATCTACCTTAAAACTCATAAAAACAAGCTGAAATCATGAAAACGCTTTGCAGGATGGGTCGAAATTTATATAAAAATATAATTTTCTTTTCATTCGAAAGACAGATTGAGAGGTCACGTTTTCTGATGCCCTCCAAAAACAGTTAAATTCACGATGATTAAGTAAGGTATCAAAATACATTTTTGGTTTTAAAGATAATTCCATAAGTAATACAAAAATTGTTCTTCATTGAGAAATATATATCAATATCAGACACAGAGCATTACATATGCATTCATCGACAAAACTGTAAGTGTTTAGATACACTACAGAACTGTCCACCAATAGATATTAATTAAACATAACTTGGCCTCACCAAAACCTAGATACACTACAGAACTGTCCACCCATAGATATTAATTAAACATAACTTGACCTCACCAAAACCTAAATATTTTTTTTTGTTAATAAAAAAAGCATTTATATTTTAAATCCATCCTTACATTATTTCATAATAAATCTGAAAAGCAACTTCTGCATTTCTATAAAGTTCTAGATATATAGTCAAAGATATGTGCAAGATGCAGAAAATCGTAAGCAACAAAACATTGAATTCCAAAGAAGAAATTACTAGAAAAGTATCTACTAAAAGTCTCAATACTATGAATGATGTCCGTAATAATCGGACCGAGGGGGTCGCAAGTATGAAGTTTTTTTGTGAACAATTATTCTCTGTAACAGTTTTCCAAATTGTTCTGTCAGCACAACGTATGTGTATGCTGTCTGTGCCTTATGCTGCCGTTTTCTTCTTGGGATTTATTTTTGATTAAAGTATTTGTATGGACACATCTCTACAGAATTTCATTTTTATTATGCTTTTAATTAGATTGGAATTCAACACTATGTTCATCATGAATTAAAAAAAAAATACAATTACAATGTATGTCTTTTAAAATAACAATTGAAATGTTGATATATCGATATGCGTTGTTTAATATTCGGAGGTAAAACATCTCTAAGCAATGACACTGATGTCACTGGTATGTACATAAACACAATAATTCAATGCATCTCAGATATGGTATCATGGCCTATGAGACAACTATCTACTAGTCTAAGAGACCAAATGACGTAGATTTAAGTAACTATATGTCAACATACGGCCTTCAGCAATGATCGAAGCCCATACCTATTCTTACGCATTTTTACAGTTGAGTATATGAATAAACCAGAAAGTCTATTTACGCCATCACCTATCATGCCAAAACGGAAATTGCCAACAGCAAAACATAGGATGTAAAATTGAGAATGGAAATGGATATAAACAACATCTACCTGAAGTGAAGTGAAAAAAAAGTAGATAGATAAGAAAATATGAAACGTTCAATAACTTCCTGAAAGTTGTTTTGCCGAAAGCACACAAATTTTTTTCATTAAATTCATTTAATTCAGATAAGAGTTGCATTATTAAACCTTGGTTTCGATTTCAGTTTCGGTTTAGCTTACGGCTTATGGTAAAGATGTCCATTGGAGATGTGTATGCGGTTATATACTATTTTTATTCATTCGCTAAAAGTCGTAAATATCTAGCAACGAATTAACGAACTTCAAAATAAGAAAATAGAAATTCTATATTTTTATAAAGTCTGCTATTTCAAAAGTGTTTGCTCATCTTGGATGACGGAGTAATTAGACATCTTCCAAAGAAAGGGTTGTTAAATATTTGTAATGAACGCGAGTTATCTACCGTAGAGTATGATCAGAACAGTTAAAAATATATTTATATTGGACTTTAGTTAATAATTTAATCTTATTTTCATGTACAACCTACAAATGTTACAATAAATCACAAAAGATTGCTTTTTACTCATTCGTCTTTTTTTTATGCAATCACTTGCAGTTTTAGTCATACATAGCATTCCGAAGGTTTGAAAGATGTGGTTTCATCTTTGTAATGCAGTATAATAGAAACATTTCACTCTCAGTTTGTAAACAAGACGATATAACTTTTAAAAGGTAGGTAAAATAAGAACCAATATAAGCGCAATAACCCTAAGAAAAAAAATACAAAAAAATTAAGACTTGAGAAATATGTCGATTTTTTTTACGAAACATGTAAGGAACAAAATAATTATTTAATTAAACGACACGAAATGCAATGATAGTATAGTTTATAACCAATTAACATCACAAAAACGCATTAAAAATCAACAAATGTCGAATGAAAAAAATAACGTTCGAAATATTTAATTTATCAGTTTTTGATAATACTCTTTAAAAGTTCTAACTTTATGCTAATTTAGCTTGAATCTGTAAATATGATTTTTACATTTTTTAATTCAGGTATAAAATCTTGGCACCGATGTCATTTCTAAAATGACAATTTTTAAATATAATATTTTCCAAACATAAACATTCACAAATATGCATCACAGATATATGAACATGTCCACAGTAATTATTCGTTCAGCACATCTTGGTAGTGTTTGTTGTAGGGTTACGGAATCTGCCGATATTTGCCGATCTTGTAATTATGCTGCTTTGTTCGGGTTGACGTAACATGGCACTGTAAAACTCGACGGACTTGCTATGTCTTTAATGGCGGATGCTGTCGAAGCTATTCCTGCTATTAATCCGATAAATATAATCTCATAGTTTAAAATTTTCTCCCATAATGGTACCTCTCTGAAAAATATAAACATGAATATTCATTAGTATTTGGAAAGCAACCATTTGATTTTAAGGGGCTAAGGGGAAAAAAGTAATCCTCAATTTTTTCACATCAAAATTAAGACGTACTTTTTTCTTCTTTGCATTGTTCCTGAATTTTTTTGAACATTTTGTCCACCGAAGATTGCATACACAAAATACAGGTTGAAAGTAATAAGCCCTTGTACACAAGCGGATTTCATAATCCACAAAACAAGCATTAGAACACTTAAGATCGTTCATTAAATACACTCTAGAACAGCAAGACATAACCAAAAGGTACATTGGCAGATTTTAACACTAGTATTTCAGACGTCATAGCGGATGAAGACAGAACTGTTAAACAAAACTCTACAAGAACCTTTCCGCTTTTTCATGCATTTACAGAATTTTTCCTAAATCATCATTAAGAAACATACGATTTCCCTTAAAATTGTATCGGAGGAGCATTCGATTTCCCGAAAAATTGTATATCTAAAAAGTATGATGATAAATAAAACAAACATTCATCAAAAACTTTGCAAGCCTATTGGCTAGTACATGCCCCATATTACAGCATTTCTGTCAAAATCCCACACTTTCTAATTTTGAAGATGGATTTCGATTGGGAAGTTTCCGCAAATTACAACTAAACGTTACAATAAAAGAGATTGCACGATACCTCGACAAAAACACCAACTAGTTCATCTACTAGTTCTAGACTTCAGTAAAAAATGTATTAACAGAAATTAACAAAATATCGAACCCCAACCTGAAGGTAATTTCACGGTTAAGCATTTGACATTGTTCCACACACAATATTACTAATTAAAGTAAACAAGAGAGTGGTCTCATTGGCAATTATACCACATCTTCTTATTTTTATAAATAACTTTGGCATAAAAGTTGGGGAGGGTCGTGGTCAACTAGAAAACAACAGTCTTTCTCAAATTGAGAAAAGGAATCAACATTATATGCTAATCAATCGGTAATCCCAATTGGTAACGTTTTGGACCTCTAATGTTCCTGCTATAAAACTAGGATCTCTTCTATTCAATATTTTGCCAATTACAGCCAATTTTATTCTTGCAGCGTTATACAAAGAATAATATAAAGGGACCTTACATCAGGAGAGGCATGAAAAGTAAAAAAAAAAGAGTTTAAACCCGCAAAAATACAGATTTTAGACTTTTTTGCTCTTTCAATATTTTCAAAATTTGACATCGAAATCTTGATAATATTCATTATATTGATATTTTCAAAGTATGTATTTATCATATATAAACTTCTTTATCTTAGTGAAATATATTTACATAAAGTCCGTGTCAAGCTTTTGAAGACTTTCTTCGTTTTCAATGAATTCATCTCTGACAAATGGCGCTGTGTCATCACGTGGTTTCCGACAAAGTTTAAGGTAAAATACTGAAGGACAAATGTAGGCTAATAGAGTTGTTGTTGAACCACCAACTAATGCTAAAATGGCGCCAAAACGTGGTATTGATTCTGCTACAAACAATGCACATAGCACCATCACTGGCCTAGCAACACATCGTTTCCATGTGAATTCTGAAACGGACAAAAAAGACAAAAAAAAAACAATAAAAGATCATAAAACCCACTGGGGAAATAGTTACAACACTTGAATGTGAATTTTCACATATTGTTTTAATTACCTAACATGATCGCCTAACATGTACCAACATATTTTGTTATTTATTTATACTGTACCTATCTATAGCGCTTGATAAGATTCATAAATGTGTTAAATTACTTTAAATATTCAAATCAAATTGAGCCCAAAAAGCAATAACCTCAAATAAAACATAATTAAAAGACTTAGCATTTCTTGGTTTTATATCATAACTGCTAGCAATTAATGATGTCCTGATTTTTCCCATAGGAACTGTAAATTTTCCCTCAGTTTTTCATATAATTTTAAAAGTTCAATCACCACGTTTGGTTTGTAAAGCAATCATTAAATGAAATAGAAGATTTCATATGTCGCCAATGAAGATACATGTATAACTCTTTTTTAATATTTTGCATCAAAATTTTGCATCAAAATCTTCATAAAAAAGACAGCCACTGTAAAATAAATACTAGTAGACCAAAATATTGCCAGCGAGATCAGAATACATTGCTGTATTAAAGTTACGTCAAGTAAGACACCGAATAAATTCAATATTCTCCAATCTGCACTGATAAAAAAAAAGAATCCAGCGTCCTGAATGTTCATGAAATACTTGCCACGGAACGTTAGGCAAAAAGCAATACTCATCATAATTGGAGGTTTTTCCTACCTGTTGGAACTCCAAATTTTGACTCTATTTCCTGACAAAATGGGTTGATGACTATCACAAATCCAAATAACAGATGAAGCGTTATAAGAGTCTGAACAATGTAGGTGATAGGACCGTCTGTAGTTGTTAGTAAAATGTTATCCTTTACTGTGTTGCCATAGATGAAAAACGCAGACGTCGATGTTGGAAGATACATTGCCAAGACAACTGTAAACACAGAAGAAGAATGCGATTATTACATTAAAATCACATTGTAATTATTGCCACTGCAAATCATGTGTTTTCTATTATGTAGAATGTCTTTCGAATGAAAATCCCTAGTTCAATCGAATGCAATCAGTCGTTGCGCGATTTTTTCAATGCATTGAAGACCCATTGGTGGCCTTGGGCTGTCTTTTTGGTTTGTTTTGCTCTTTGGTTGGGTTGTTGTCTCTTTGACACATTCCCCATTTCCAATTCCCCATTTCCATCCTCTATTCTATTTGAAATAATTTATCAAAAATAAATAAAATTCAATTATTTTGTTATCATGCATAGAATATATCTATATTTCCTGGAATCGACTTTTCTACTATACAAATACCATCGATAAATGTATAGTATTGGCCATTTAAAACATACATCTCTTTATTTACCAAGATCGCCTTTTATAGTTATTTGAGCAATATGCATAATTATCATTGCCTTTTTGATTTTATAGTATATATTTTTTTATTTGTCACATTCGAAATTTTATAACCTAACAACCTACTCATGTATCCGAGCAACACAGCCCATTTAAAGTCTGCCTTATTTCTCATATCCGCTTGAAATGTAGGAAAAGCTGGATGTCCACCAAATGCAAACACTATTGTGCCAAAAGCTGTGAAAAATGAAGTGAATTCTTGTTTTGAGTGTTCTACTGTCGTTCCGTGCTTGTCTTTGTCTTGAATGATTCTTGCTAGCAATAAGATACATGCCAATCCTGTGGCTAATGTTGCTCCAACTGCTATTGGCCTAAAATACAAGATCTCTCATAATTATTGACCAGCTAAAAGCAAAATGTTCGGATGGCATGAAGTATAATATATAAAACTAAACTGGGGAGAAATCGTCTAGCTTCGGTAACGAGGGGACAACGTGTTTTCTCTTTCGCTCACTTTGGATCGATTTTCAAGATCGTTTCGATATGGGTATTGATTTTTTTGTTTGTATTTTCTACAAGTTTTTACTAAGCTACTTGTGGACATTTGGTAAACAAGCAACTTCTCTAGAGCCTTAACATTTCTATTATTGAAGATCGTTTCTTGGTTTCCTATTTTTACTCGATCTTGATTCATTGTCAATTTTATGATAGTGGAGTTTCAAGTATCAATTGTGTAATAATAGCAAATAAATATTTTCAAGATATAAAAACAAGCAGATATCCTGCTCCTGGAGCGTTGAGATGTATTGTCTTATCAATTAGCATGTCTCGTTGTATCAAATTTGTGATGTTTTATGACTTCAAAATTATATTTCATTTGGAAAGAAATGTCGGATACTATAATTAAGTTCCAAATAATACGAACAGTGTCTGTCTAGTATCAAGCAGGGTATATGCATATCTCACGAATATGGTATCGTCCAAAGGACTACACATGTAACATTTACCGCCGGACGTTGAGCAAATATTATTCAATATATCAATATTTTTTAATTTATTTTATATCCTTAGATATCTTAAGGAAAAGATACAAATATATTGTACATCCTTTCGATTTATTAATTACACCAATTTATTGCTAAATTCTGTTGATTTTCAAGAGGCAAACACATCTGTTAGTTTACTTTCTGTATATCGATTCCGAAAGAAGAAAATGATCAAATATAGTGCGGATCCAAAATAAAGTGATTGTACATTTCAAAACAAATTGGTTGTATAACTAAGTTAATGCATTCCCTTCCGGAGTGCATGAGCTCATCTTCAAGTTATTGTGGAGTTTCTGCTGCTCATTCTCTAAATTTCTCACTCTCAGAGAAAAAAAAACTAGTACAATTTAGCATTTAACCAATAGCAAGACATTAATTTCGTTTTGGTGTCAGAACAATAAAATTACCCATAAATCTTTAGATTTTAAAACGGCGTATTTTAGCGTTGCCTTACATACCAGAAATCTTTTGGTGTTCCCAGACACACAACAGGCATCAATACCACTGCTAGTATGATTATAAAGTAACAGAACGATACTTCTTTTGTGGCATGACTGATCAGATCTTGTAGATTCTCGGCTGCCAGAATCAGAAATACTACAGACACACCAAACAGGGTGAAATTTATAGAAAACGAAACTAAATATCTACAATAAAATTAGATATACTATAAACATACGAAATAGGGTAAATAGAACACGATAAATATATTCATAACAGACACATGTAAATAAAAAGATAATATATAATTACCAATATAAAATGGACACTAGGTACAATGTAACATAATGGATAATGAATATAAAAAAAAAATATATATCAAAAGGCGGTAAACTGATTATCTATCCAGAGAAACCGAATTCATCCGGTTTTAGGCGGAGACGAGTTGTATATATAAACTAAAGGAGTAAAATTGAGAATGGAAATGGGGAATGTGTCAAAGAGACAACAACCCTACCATAGAGCAGACAACAGCCGAAGGCCACCAATGGGTCTTCAATGCAGCGAGAAACTCCCGCACCCGGAGGCGTCCTTCAGATGGCCCCTAAACAAATAAGTATACTAGTTCAGTGATAATGGACGTCATACTAAACTCCAAATTATACACAGGAAACTAAAATTAAAAATGATACAAGACTCACAAAGGCCAGAGGCTCCTGACTTGGGACAGGCGCAAAAATGCGGCGGGGTTAAACATGTTTTTTGAGATCTCAACCCTCCCCCTATACCTCTAGCCAATGTAGAAAAAACAAACGCACAACAGTACGCACAGTAAAACTCAGTATAAGAGAAGTCCGAGTCCGATGTCAGAATAGAATACAAAAGAAAATAAACAAAATGACAATAATACATAAATAACAACAGACTACTAGCAGTTACTGACATGCCAGGAAGTTTGTTTTCATAGATGTATTTCTTAGTGAAGTGACTTTCAGATTGTATCTTTAATATCTCTTTAAATTAATGTTCCGTTCTCATTATTTACAACAGTATTTACCCACATTTATCTTTAAATTCTATCAAAAATGGAGATTTCGTCCAATGTGAGCAGCAAATTTGATTGCCTATCTTTTAAAAGTGAGAGACAAATTTACCTCTTTTTTACAGTTAAATGTGAGGGAATGAAAAACAAGATGTCCAAGGAGAATAGAGAATTTTGGAATAACTATTTACTACAAACTGCAAAAAGCATTTAATGAAAATATAGTTATACGGAAAAATAAATATATATATATCTCAAAAGCCACCTGTGAACGTGATAAAAATGATCCCCACGACGAGTTTGCAGTCGGAAGTTAATCCACATAAAAAAAATAATTTACACAACTTTTTCATGACGTCAAACACCAATCCAAAGAAATATGTTCCTGTTCCTGACTGAAAAAACTATTGTGAAAAGGTTATAAGAGAGATCTTTTAAACACCGAAAATATTCCAAATAATATGTGTACATATTGCGTTTGACACCACCTTCTGTTTAAAAAAACAACAACATTCCCTTGACAAATCAGAGGGCAATACGCGATGAATTGTCTAATAAAAATACCTTCCAAATTTTCCGAATGCTTGCTCGCCTATGATTGGATAAGGATCAACAACATGTGACTGGTACTGGGGATTTCTACTTTGGACTATCAGCCAAGCTCTTCCTAATATGGCACCAGTATACGCCGAGGCGATGGCGCATACAACTATTAATACCAGACCAATCCATCCTAGATACATAAAAAATAAATCTTCAGTTAAGGAAAAATATAATGGAAATTATATGAAATGTAGGACCAGGAAAAAATCCTTGGAAGGACTACGAACATTGGAGTCATGTGGAAATAACAGAAGCAAAGTTGGTCCTATAAAGTTTGACATGAGTGTTTTCTATGAAACGAAGAGTGGTGCAATTATCTGTTTTGGAGACGGCAGCGGTAGCGGCGAATTTTTTTTCTTTTCTTAATAAAACTAACAGAGCACTCAATATAAAAAAAAAGACAAAAGAAATTGTATGTAGATAGACTTGAACTACATTTTCCTTCGATAAAATGCTGTAAATATTTTGTGAATTTTGACAAGAATTTCCCATAGTGATTTAAAAAGTAAGTCATAATATTAGTTTGGAAACCTTTTACTTTCGAAATAGGTTGCTATTTCATATTTATGACTAACCTGAACTGTCGACTGCTTTCGGTAATGCTAGGACACCAGATCCTGCTATCTCACCAACGATAAATACAGAGGTACTCCATATTGTCAACCCATGAGTCGGCTTCAACATATAAAAATCATAATAGAGTATCCTTCAAATTTAACATGTGTTTGTACGATCTATAAATGCTACATTTAGTACCTGTTTTTTTTTTTTTTACTCTTTTTGAAAAAGGAAGCAATCTTGTTGTTTTCTCAATTACTTAACCATGATCTTCTACAGTCATTACGGACTGTCACCTTTGACCCAGTTGAGATTTGGTTTGTTAAAATGTAGTTTTTTACAATGGGTTACAACCCAATCTAAAAAATCGTTCGTTTTAGACATTTTATACAGCTTTCATTCAACTTGTAACACCGCGCCAAAGATCTATTCGATGTTGGAAAATGAGGAAAGTTACATTTATTTAATAGTGTGTGTTCTATGTTTGATGTAAATGTTTTACATATCAAATCCATTTTATTTATAAGAATGTAAAAATAGGTAAGTTACGAAGAACTAGTTACCTGATTGATCTCATAAGAAACATCAGATGACATCACAAATTTGTGTAAATTTCGGTTAAGTTTCTTAAGTAGGTTTCATTTTATATGGAGTATCTGTAAAATAAAATCAACATTTTAAAATGCACTCTCAAAACTAGAGGATTACGGAAACATGTGGATTTATAAAGTTCATCATTTTAAGTTATGGCATAAGCTCTACTTTTTCAGAATATATTGACTTGTTTCGTTTTGTTTCGTTAAATTTTTTGTTCGTTTTATTCTTGATTTGTTTAAAATTATTTTTGTTTCGTTTCGTTTCGTTTTTTATTGTTTCTGTTTTTATTCTGTTATTGTGAACGCAGTTGTGCAAAAGTTATTATAATACCCCCTGGCAAATATAGAGAATATTTGATTTATACATGAGTCACACGTTGTACAATCGAAATTACGGTTTTTTCATACTGTTTTAAAACTAACATGACTAAGGTATGTAAGTGTAAATGTAAATTACTCGAATAATTTATTGTTCTTACCTTCAGTTTTTATATCACATGTCATCTGAATCCAAATCACATGACTTATCGTACATATTTCACACGTCTACAATATACTAAACATTATAGATAATAAATCTAATTTTAATAGTAGATAACTTTGATTTTATCTGATACTTTGAAACTCTCTGCACCCAGATATCTATATCATAAATAAAGTAACCAGATTTAAGTATACCCAACCTTTATTTAGATATAAAAAATTGCATGGGATAAGCAATATTTTTTAAAGAACAAATCAGGAATATTTTAGGAAGAAAGGAGCAAATACGAGAGTCTTTTACGTGGTACATACACATCAGGGTGATTTTCTTCCAAAAGATGTAATTCTTATGCTTACATTTCGTACAATTCTATGTATACTGAACGAATCCTCTTTCTTTGGGATATTTCACTTCAATAAAATTACAAAAATGCAGAGATACAGAAAATAAAAGAGAGCCGAAAGATACCAAAAGAATATATAAACTCGTAAGTCGAAAATATACTGACAATGTCATGGCAAGAAAAGAAAAACGATCAAAAGACTTATAACAGTATACAAAACACAACAGAAAACTAGAGACTGAGCAACACGAACCCCATCAAACATCGGGTGTGATCTCAAGTGCTCCGGAGGGGTAGGCAGATCCTGCCGCACATGTGACACCCGCAGATTAACTCCTTGAAATATGTTGAGAAGTTATATAAAGTGATTAGGCATCACGCATTAGCCTAGAAATTAGTATGCAGACTACTTGATGTTTTTTGTGCGTTGCTGATGTACTGCCGTCTTGACCTCGACCCCAAATTGACCAAATTCATATCATTTTCAAACGTAGAGTATAGAATAAAATTGCAACACTTAAATAAAAGGGAAACAACTGCCGTTTGATAAATATAAGGAGTAAACGGAATAGAACACGAAGAAGTTCCAAAGAAAAACAAACTTAGGAAAACCACATGTTAAATAGGAAAAAAGAATACCATTAGGCCACACCAATTTGATTAATAGTTCTTTGGATTTTCCCGCTCCTGTTTTGGAGAAAATTGACTTTTCAATAAAAAAAAATAATTACCGCTTCCGCAAATTTTTGGGCCGCATGCCGCTCCAAAATTAGTTTCTCCTTGAAATTTTTTTTTCACATAGACGTTTTTCTTTAACCCGAATAATTCAGTCGTTATATTCCGCTGATCTACGAAGGCTCGTGTGGGAGAAAATCGGACACGAAAAGGGCTTGAATTATTCGAGTTAGTTTTTCTTGTGCTTATATTGCTCCGATCGATTCAAACGCACGTGTGATAAATCGATTTGTAAATAAAAGGTCAAAAATCGGGATGCCAACATGAAGTTGTGTCAGCTGAATTGCCGTGGACAAGTAGTTATTGAATACACAGTTATCCGAAATGCATCTCGTTTTACCTATGAAGACCTGTTCTAGGAGACAAAAAATAAAAATCTTTCCTTAGATGACCACGACCACATCAATATTTGTAATAACCATCGTCATCACCGATCATTGTTTCAACAGACATAGACATATTATCTATCTTGGATGAAATTAATTTTAAACTTACATGAATTTTTTAAAAATCACAGATTTATCTTATTTCGATGAAAACTTCATATCCCCTTGTTAGTCTATTGACATGCAATCAGACCTCTTTTGTAAGGAAAAATTTAAGAGTTCCAACGTTCGAGACCAAAGTGGTGGAATTGTTATTGGTATGCTCATGATAATTAGGGATGTGTAATTGGTCAAACCACTTCTAGTCAAGCTAAAGAGTTTAAAATACATTGCAGGTTTTAGGGGCAAAAGGAAAGAGTATTTTGGTCAGTCATGATAATGCATGCAAATGTGGTGACAGGTATTGTAAGGGAATATTTTAATACATTGAGATCTACATGCATAGTGTTATATATTTATATATATATATATATTATATGTGTAATTCAGTTTCCTATGCTTATACGGAATTGTATAAGTGATGTCCGGAAACGACTTTTTGTTAACTCTCTCTCTCGGGTAATAAATGTCGTTGATGTAAGACGTATTTCTTATGAGCTCGTTCCCAAACTACAAAAACTAAAGTTAAAAGACGAGGCCCATATCGTCACAATAGCAATATAACTATCTTACTCAGGATGTTGTTGAAATATTCACCTCATTCATTATGTTGATCCTTAGTATGGATAAATAGTTCCAATTGGATGTCAAGCAGCCAATAAACAATCATTACCATATAATGAAAACAACTATATAAAAAAATATTTAATATTTTTCAGGGGCACTTTTTGGGATACATACACATATTTTAATTTTATTCAACATATGTCATTTACCTAACTAACATAATCCCTCTTGTTAAACTGCATATGATATGCTTCATTAATATATACACATGTATGAATTTAAACTAAAAATTCACGCAGAAAAAGCTAATTGACGAAAATAATCAAAATTAACAAAACCACAGCCAAACAAGAAAGTTTGGTATGCTACAGGCACCAATACATCAAATTATATGCACAAGAGCATGTGTCTCCTCCTTTTTCTATGAAGTCACCCAGTTTTAACATGAACATAAATTCCAAATCGCACAATTAAAAAAAAAAAATATACCGCCCGCTTCACTTGAAGAGCACCCGCCTCAAAAAAACTCATTTTCAAGAAAAAAATACAATCAAAAACATTTCGCTCGCTCGCCCCATATTTTTTGGAGCTTTTGTCCGAAGAACTACAAATCAAATTGGTGTGGCCTTAGAAATAAACTAAAATACAGACAGAAAACCTTTAGTGAAAATAAAATGAATTCCGTTAGGTACACTAAAAAGAAGGCATTTCCCGTGCATGCCTTACCGATCAAAAGACTCGAAAATCATACTCAACGGTAATCTAGACAAATGACGAAACTGTTTATATCTTGCACACGGAGATTGACTAAAGAAAGAATTGTGATGTAATATATAAATTATTTTCCATGTATATCTGTCACTGACCTTTTTAGTGGTGAGACGATGAGTGGTTTGCAAAAATATTGTCGAATATTTTGATTGATTGTCACGAACGTTACATATGGTTAAGTTGTATTACATCAAAACTGATTATGTATGCAATATATATATATATATATAGAGAGAGAGAGAGAGAGAGAGAGAGAGAGAAACTTATTTTAATTTTCATATAAGACATAAGACATTTTATTTCACATGGGGTATGTTAGTACAACATTTTAACAAACAATAAAAGCGTAAACGTATTTACACTAGAACAACATGGTAAACAAAGGTGCAATAATTATAGTATATAATAATGAATACTGATATGTGACAGGAAGTACAAATTATAGGAACTTTCCAAGGCCGTAACTACCATTGAGGCAAGTGAGGCAATTGCCTCACTAAAATTTCGACAGTGAAATATTTTTTTTTGTGTATTTGTTTATGGTAATCAAATACGAAATATAGTCATTTGTTAGATATAAGAAGATGTGGTATGAGTGCCAATGAGACAACTCTCCATCCAAGTCACAATTTGTAAAAGTAAACCATTATAGGTTAATGCCTTCAACACGCAGCCTTGGCTCACACCGAACAGCAAGCTATAAAAGGCCCCAAAAATGACTAGTGGAAAACAATTCCAACAGGAAAACCAACGGTCTAATCTATATAAAATACGAGAAACGAGAAACACTTATGAACCACATAAACAAATGACAACCACTGAACATCAGTTTTGTTTTTCATCATTTGTTTTTCTGTCTCAACCTTGATTCCTACAACTTGACATCGTTCCTTATAAATTATTCTTCCCGCATATAACTCTCAGTCACCGCTTGATGTTTCTCGATTACATTAACCTAGTAACCGCTAATCATCATGGGTCTCTGTTAAAAACAGGCTCTTGCAGAAAAAGGAAAAGCAATACCGAAGGTGAGGATGGAAAACTATTGGATGTTATTTGTGATCACAACAGGTGTTAAGGGTTCCAGTATTGAATATATATTCATTGGAACTAATCCAAAATATAAATAGACTGACAAATCAAGTACTGGGGTACCACATGGGAGCAGTCCTGTCTGAGTATTCATTTCCCCGTTTTCCCAAACTTTATGCGTTCTTAAAATTTGAAAGAACATCCCATAATCCAATTTTGACATTATTGAGAAACGGTAGGACCTTGAAAACGGGATTTCGTGTTTAATAATTTGGGACCGGGATTTCGTGTCTTTCAATTAGGAATTTCGGGATCGGACCCCTTCCTACCCCCTCGTTATGCGATTGTTGATCTAAAATATCTTACCACTGACTCTTTCCAGAAATAATCTAAAAACGGCGAAAACTTCAGTCCAATTTCCCCGTGTCCATAAAAAAAAAATCCTAGAATAACATAAAACGGTATTGTTATATTCGATTTCTCGTATCCATAACATAAAAAGGTAGCTTTTGGCAAAAAGAAGAACCAAAATAATATTCCTAAAACAACATAAAGTGGCATAGGGTTTACACCCCATATCTCTGAATCCAGATGACAAAGTTATGATTATCCGATATTCCTGAATGTGAAATGGCAAAGTAGATTCCAATATATCCGTTGCAAGGCTTAAAACTGAAAAGTGATATTATGGCTCTGTCTGCATTGTAACGGTTTGAAATCAAACCATGACATCTTCAATCTATCCAACGATGTCAAGCTCTCTGGAAATGCAGGATTTTACACCATTTATCCAAGACCCCCCACCTAATTTTTTTCGTGGCGATCAGTTTTGCCTCACTAAAATAATATGCCTAGATACGGCCTTGCGTTCATCGACAAAAGTTGATAAAAAAAACCTTTTGTTATCTCCCCTTGAACAGTAACTTCGGCAAATTTTGAAAAAAATGTATATCAAAATGAATACACTAAATAGCAAATTAAATTCTCAGCCACATGTATATCATTAAAATATATTTATTCGATAAAAACACTCCTGCTAAACGTTTTGTTGATATCCCCCTTTTGGACTTAGACCAGGAATTTTCTAAGGTCAATTTGTTAACGTTAGTTTTTTTTTTGGTTTTTTTTTTGTGTTATTTATTTGTGATTTTGGCCTTTGATTGGATTGCATTTTCTCAACCAGTATGTCAATAAAGGTTTTGATTTTGTAAATATTGCCGGTATTTTAACGACCATTCTGTTAAAGAACAAATTCCCTGATATTTTGATAATACTTAGCTCCCTCTTATTTGTTATATTTACAAGAAATCTACCCGGAAATTTGTGTTTAATTATAGCCAATTGTGTAAAGATGTTAATATCAGTGAAAATACACCTACTTCATGTAATTGCAGTAATTCCGAATACATTTATGGACCCATTTCCCATGTTATAACAGGAGATCTTAACATCGTTCAAGACCGAGAGTTAAAATCATTCCTCAGTAAAGGACCTAAATATCGTCCCCCGTCAATTATTAATTGGAATGAGTGTCGTAATATCATCCACGACTCACTCCATACTTACTGTTTGAAATGGATAAAACGGGAAAAAGCTGACAAAAAATCTTTGGACTCTTTTTTTAAATCAGTAATGAATATAGTTGATATACGTATTCAACATTTTAAAGAACATTTTACTCTTAACAATAACCACAATAAACCTATTTCTCGTATCAAACATAAACTAAAAGAACTAGCCAAGGAATTTGTTTTTGTCCCGGCCGATAAAGCTGCTAATAATATTATTATTGTTTGACGTAAATTTTACATTGAGGTTCTGAAAAAAGAAATCACCAATTCACCAACATTCCAACTGACTCCATTTTCAGAAAACGACATCTGTAACAAACATAAACTTTTAGCTACCGCTTTACAAGCAGAACCAAATACAATGAAAGTCCCAACTATGTATTGGCTTCCGAAGCTACACAAAACACCTTACAAAATATAGATTCATTTCGTCTTCAAGCCATTGTTCCACTACTAAATTGTCTATTCTTCTTACCAGTACACTTGGTACAATCAAAAATTCTGATAATAAATTGTTCAAATAAGGCCTTCGAAAATAGTGGAATTAATTACTTTTGGAGTGTCAAGAACTCGTTGGAAGTACTTGATAAATTGCATGCATATATTGGTGATTTTGAATCTGTTCAAAGTTTTGATTTTTCTACCCTATATACCACATTGCCTCACATTCTCATTAAGAAAAAATTCACACACCTAATTAAATGGGCATTTAAAAAGTCAGAATGTGAATATATATGTTCAAACTCTTTTAGGTCATTTTTTAGTAGCAATAAACAAAAAAACTATGTCAATTGGACATGCTTTGATACTATATATGCCCTTGAATTTTTACTAGATAACATTTTTGTTCGCTTTGGAGATTCCGTATATCGTCAGGTTATCGGAATTCCAATGGGGACTAACTGTGCACCACTTATTGCGGACCTTTTTTTGTATTGCTATGAGTTACAATTTATGACAAAAATCAGTAAAGACCCATCGAAACAACATCTGATACACAAATTTAATAATACTTTTAGATATTTGGATGATATTTTGGCTCTCAATAATGACGACTTCAGTATGTATACTAAAGAAATTTATCCTGTTGAACTTACTTTAAATAAAGCTAATACTAACAATGACCACTGCCCTTTCCTCGATCTTGATATCTATATCATTAACGGAAAGCTTAATACTAAAATATATGATAAAAGAGATGATTTTTCATTTCCTATCGTTAATTATCCATTTTTAGATGGTGACGTTCCCTTGTCACCATCTTACGGTTTTATATCTCAACTTGTACGATTCGCTCGTGTATGTAACAATGTTTTAGATTTTAACGAGAGAAATTTATGTATTACTGAAAAATTATTACACCAGGGTTTTCGATATCACAAACTAGTCAAAACATTTACTAAATTTTATCATCGGTATAAGGACATCATTCGTAAATATAGCTCAACATGCAGACTTCTTATACGTTCAGGTATTTCACATCCAATTTTTTATGGAAATATTCTTTATAAAGCACAAAAATGTCAGTATTTACCTCTGAAACTAACAAAACCTTTAAATAGGCTTATTAAGAAGGGATATAGTTACGATACTGTTGTCAGGTCATTAAAGATTGCATATTTTGGCGTTAATATTGATTCACTTATAGGGTCTTTGCATCGGCACTAAACACATTTATTTAAAAACCAGTTGTTGGCATGACACGGGTTATGTTCTTCTCATATATGTTATGATGGTATGATACTAAACCCCTAACGGGAAGGATTGTGCCTGATATTCATATGATGAAGACATAATCTTTCAATCAGTTTAATTGAAGTCTGGAGCTGGCATGTCAGTTAACTGCTAGTAGTCTGTTGTTATTTATGTATTATTGTCATTTTGTTTATTTTCTTTGGTTACATCTTCTGACATCAGACTCGGACTTCTCTTGAACTGAATTTTAATGTGCGTATTGTTATGCGTTTACTTTTCTACATTGGCTAGAGGTATAGGGGGAGGGTTGAGATCTCATAAACATGTTTAACCCCGCCGCATTTTTGCGCCTGTCCCAAGTCAGGAGCCTCTAGCCTTTGTTAGTCTTGTATTATTTTTAATTTTAGTTTCTTGTGTACAATTTGGAGTTTAGAATGGCGTTCATTATCACTGAACTAGTATATATATTTGTTTAGGGGCCAGCTGAAGGACGCCTCCGGGTGCGGGAATTTCTCGCTGCATTGAAGACCTGTTGGTGGCCTTCTGCTGTTGTCTGTTCTGTGGTCGGGTTGTTGTCTCTTTGACACATTCCCCATTTCCATTCTCAATTTTATCGTTATATATAAAAGGAACTATGGAATATACATAAGAATAGACAGCAACCAAACTTCAAAATTCACGAACAAATTGACTTGATCCTATACTTATAATATTTTCGGTTTCCATTCGCCCTGAATAAAAAAAACCAGTAGTAATTAATTTTAAAAGAGAGGAGAAAGATACCAAAGGGACATTCAAACTCGTAAGTCGAAAATAAACTAACAACGCCATGGCAAAAAAGGACAAACAGACAAACAACAGTACATAAAACACAACACAGAAAACTAAAGACTGGGCAACACGAACATGACGAACCCCACCAAAACCTGGGGGTGATCTCAGGAGCTCCGGAAGGGTGATCAGATTCTGCTCCACATGTGGCACCCGTCGTTTTTCTCATGTTAGTACAAACCCGGAGGAAATAATGCTAGAACAAGATTTTCAGATAACTTCTCCAATTGTTTGAAATCGACCAGAACTGAACCGTACCCAACAGATCTAGAGTCTTAACTCTACTAGAGCAAGTCTATTCAGTACTAGACTGAGCTTTAGATATTCCAGACCGAGCCTTAATTTTTCTTGTACATGAGTCTTAACATAAATTAAAACCGAGAAGCTGTACAAGTAAGAATCTAAACTGAACTAGACCGATTATAAGTTGTACTAGAAAGAGTATACACTGTACAAGACCGAGTCTGAACTGTACTAGACGGAGTCGTAACTTTACTATTTTATCGTGTTTATTACACTTCCCTGTTTAACTACCTGTTATTCTAAGTATTTTTAGAATAAGGTACAGTAATTGTATATATACAAAGCTCCTCGTGTTAATGCCTTTAAAATAAATTTAAAAAAAACGAACAAACAAACATCAAAATTATAAAAAAAAAGGAATATATTTGTTTCTATCAACAATTTATATTGAAATATTTCATATTTCTCAGTGACAGCTTACCTACATGTATATGTTATAGTTTCGTTATTACTCCATTTTCTAGTTGTCATTCCTTTTGACGAAGTAAAAAACCATTCGAATCTCTCGGCTGTGAATATTCAAGTTCTTTTAGATTTGTGTCTGTGCAAATTGTACGTATCTATCCCACGTCAACATTATTTTTTTTTACATTGAATATAGTATAAAAACATACTTACCAATATACCCTTTACTTCTCTTTGTGTAAAAGTCAGTCACCCTTGACTATATAACTGTATATAACATTACACAATGTCTATATATTACGAACAACTTTATTTGCATGATCAATTTATATCAAAATAAATAATCAACGATATATATATGTATATAAATGTACTAAATGTCATTTAATTTCTGACACAACTAAATTATAAAAATAACCATTTAATCAGTAACGTTTTTTATACTAACTTTAATTGCCGCATGTGGATTTTATTTCATATATATATCATAATCATGTCAAGGAAAACATTACTGAATAATAGAAAATGAGAAAATATATCTATGTAAAAGAAAACCATTTAACTTTGAGGGGAGGAGTATTATTTTTTTTTGTTTCATTCTGAAATTTTTTTCGTACCTCTCAAGCATCAAATTATTTGAATTTTAAAAGAACTTAACATTAAGTTTAATGGCAAATACTCTCAATCAGATTGGTCATCCACAACATGCATGAAATATTTGTCACTGGGCATTAAGCAATCAGGTATCAATAGATCCCGGCCATTGATTGGTATGAATGAAAGAAGATGTTGTGCTTTTAATCACAACTTGTACAAAGGTCAATATAGTTGATATCCCAAAATGTCGTTCTTATGAGATTGAATGTCCCTGTGGTATCATTCGCCTCTCTTTTAATCGACCAAAAATATTTTTCTTACCTCATTGATCTATTGTTTAATCTGTTCTAACCCTCAGATGTTTTCCACTGGACGTTAAGAAAACAAGAAATAAGAAAAAATATAAGCCTGGTATCTTTGATGAGTTTTTCATTTTATTCTGTTCAAACTACAAAGGATTAAATACCGATGAAAGAACTGTATTACTTCATACTGAAGAAAAAAAAAGCTTAACTCAAAGAAGTGTGTTTTTTGATTTTGCCATTTGATTAGCGACTTTCCGTTTTGAATTTTCCCCAGAGTTCGGTATTTTTGTGATTTTACTTTTCTCTATTGGCATCACTTAATTGAGATACACATGTGAAGTATTTTGTCCGTAAACTTCTAGTCGATAAAGTAATTTTTTTTAATTGCATGATTGCAACTCCCTCAGAGCAATTTGACACTCAACGTTTACGCTCTGTTTTGTTCGTTTTCCATTTATGATCAAACACGTTTAAATTCATCGCTTTGTTTAATGCAAAAAATATAGATTCCACCACTGCATCAAGTGTGTAACGATATTCCTCCACTCTCAACAGTTAAATTTTAAAATTTAAAACGCGAGGCTTGACGATTTTTTTTTTAATATTTACAATTTAACTGTTGAGAGCGGAGAAATATCGTAATACACGAGATATAGCGATGGAATCTGTTTCTCTAATTTACATGTTCTTTATATGTGACGTCATCAGGCATAGTCGCCTTTTTTCCATGACGTCACAATAGAAAATGAAGATGAAATCAAGAAAATTTGACGTCATAATTGAAATTTCGACCAATCATCTGCCGAGAACAAAGTTTTCTCTAGAGATGAGAAATGTATTTCTCACACCGATCGAGACATGTGAAAAAAGCATGAACATTAGAGAAAGAGTGATGCTCAGCAGTAGGTGGCATAAATATATTTGTATAAAGCTTTATTTTTAAGATGTTAGAAACCGGGGAAACAACAGATGCCTTATGTTATGAAGTTTCTGTCTGTAAAATGACTACCGTCCCTGGCCTAATTTTCACGGTTCATCAACTGCTTACGAAATGCTTTTTTCTCACTCATTATAAGATCACTGCAAGGGTAATACATGTTCGTGTATTTACGCTAAGCAGGGTTCGCTTGACCTTGAGCTTATTTCATGGATCAGTGTTCAAGGTTAAGTTTAAGATACTATAAACAATTTATCAACTATACTTGTGTATGGAATGAATGTAAAGTTTTACATGTTTGCCTGCCAATGTTAATCTGACCTTAACCTACTTTTAAATGGTATATTGGTCATCGTTGTTTTTTGTGGTTGGGTCTATTTCTCAGATATACGGTAAACAATAGGTCAACTTTATTTTGTGTATGGAATGATTATAAGGTGTACATGTTCGTCTGATAGGGTTCTTCTGACCTTGTTAAGGTTGTGTGATACTTGTAGTATACGTTGAAGACTTTCAACATAAATTTCAATTATGATCATATAAACAGGCGAGACATTATCTGCACTCTTGTATATTTTTAAGCTTTTAAAACTTTCGTTTGGTATCGAGTCAAGGGAACCTGATGAATCGTATTCCAGACACAGGCGTCTCGAGTGTATCGAATGAAAGTTATTCCATACACACGTGTCCCAAGGGTATCGAATGAAAGTTATTCCAGACGCACGTGTCTCGAGCGTACCGGATAAAGGTTATTTAAGGAACATGTGTCTCGAGCGTACCGGATAAAGGTTATTTAAGGAACATGTGTCTCGAGTGTATCGAATGGAAGTTATTCTAGACACACGTGTCTCGAGCGTACTGGATACATGTCATCCCAGACACACGTGTTGTGCGCACTGAAAATCATGTCATCGATTAATTTGTTTTTATATACTCGTGATTCTGATTCCTAATGATTCTAAATATAACAGTGTTACTAGAAAAGAAAGGATATGGGGTATCCTCCATGACACAAAATCAGTACATACACAGCAAATAGCACAACAAGAAAAGGAACTGCGCTTTTCTTGCTGTTCTTCAGCTCAAAGTCACAGTGAGACCTTCAACACGTAGCAAAACTATATACCTATCAAAAACTTCAGATAGTAAACAAGTGTCTATTATAATAATACTTTAAGTCAAGATCTAATAAATAACATCTATTAAGATTGTTCAGAGTCAACAAGTTAGACAGTAAAATACGTATAAAAACATGTAAAACACGTATAAACTTAAAACAGATTACATGTGGATACAAATTATCGAAGGTTATCTATAAACAAACTTTTTGTTAATTAAAAAAAATGTATCCTTTGACAATTTTACAAAAGCATTCAAAATAAATCGTCCACTACGAAAAGGGTACCATTGTTCACCACATTTATCATGATATTTTTTACACTTTATTAAAGATGTTTAAAACACTGAAAAATTTGCATTGTATGCAATTAAACATTATCTATTGCCAATCTTTACGTTCCTTGTAGATGAACATAGCACGGTACAGATAAACTATTTGGACTAGCTATGGCAATAATGGCAGACACAGTCGCCGCAACGCCACCTATGATTCCAATAAATATAATCTCTAAACTGAAAACTCTCTGCCACAGTGGAATATATCTGAAAGAGAAAGACTATTTGCTTTAAAACGTTAAGTATTAATCAGACTTTTTGCAAGATATATCTACGCAAATTCTTTGCTGTTGCAATTTCTTCGTATCAAATAATTGTTTTGTCGCCTTAAGGTAAGAGGAACTTATAAATGGACAATCTCTCGGATATTTATGAAATTATTTATGCAATGCGCATGTGCACCTGCGTCTAAATATCTAACAAATGATACATGTACATGTAAGTTTTACACTGCAAGGGATATGTTGACTTATTTCTCGAAAATATTAGAAACTATATCAGTTTTGATATATAGAAGTAAAGTACAACATTCAAGATATTCTCTAATATAACAATAATTATCAATACGGTTACCGTAAAATGTAAAGCACAGCTTCAGTATAAAAGTGCTTTGCATTTCTTAATCAATTGAAGATATATTGCGCTAGTTGTAATTTTTATGGGGTTGGCTCGTATGAAAGCCAAGGCTGAAAGACTATATATTAAGATTCCTGAAAGAAGACTGTACATGTACATATAGTCTAAGAACTCTAGATTTCTTTTTGTTACTAGTATCGATGTGTAGCTGTCTCATTGACGTTTATCAAAACTATTCTTTTCAACAGTAGAAGCACAACTTGAAAATAGTTAATTGTATCATATTACACTATTTTTATGTATCTGATAAAATTCACAGTTTTTATGAAATAAAATTACGATTTCCGAACGACAAGTATGAAAATCAAGATTTTACAACATCTGATATGAAAATCAAAATTGTATAAGTGAAATCAATATGATTTGGATTAGATTGATTGAACGAGATTAGAGGTAAATTTATTAATAAGTTTACGTTGGTTCTTCGGAAAATCTATTTTCTCTTTATTTCCTATTTCTGAACAAGCTTTTTGAGTTTGAATTTTCCGATATCGGGTTAAATTAAAGGTAATTTTTTTTTAGTTTCATGTATAATTCAATTGTCAAGAAATTTACAAAATTGGCAGTTAGCCAGTTTTATGACTATGCCAATCATAGCAGTTATATTCAATTCTCTTTTAAGATTAACCTGCTTTTGCAAAATTTACTTCTCTTTATATTCATTTCGAAATTTTTACATAAATGTCGACTTTGCGTAATTTTCTTTTACATATACATGATATATATTCATTGTTTTTTTACAATACTCACATTTCAGAAGAATTCCTTGTATTATGCAAAATAGCTCGTCGAACATCAACTGGAGTGATGGAATGTTCTCTTCTTCCCACTAATGCTGCGTCTTCTATAGGAGTGCTGGACTGTTCTCTTATTTGCCATGAGCCTGTGTTATCTATACTTTCCAATAGCGATTGTGATTCCGATTGTTTTTGTATGTCAGTTTTACTCTTAATTGTATTTCTCTCAGTTACGTGATCATTCTTGCATAGTTTCGTATAAAATATGCATGGAAAGACATACGATAGAAGTGTTGTTGTCAAACCACCAACAAGTGATAAAATCGAACCAAAATGTGGTATAGACTCGGCAATGAACAATACTGATATGACAATTAAAGGTCTGACCACGCATCTTTTCCAGGTGAATGCTAAAAGTTAAAAAAAATGGCAAAATGTTTTGTTATATTGACGTTATGGCACCAAAACTTGCTTGATGCTATTCTCTTTTGCACAAAAGAATAAAAGTATTATTTGTTTTCACTTTAAAATTAACGATGTCGGTTAAAATTACATTTCCTTGCTGAATTACCTTTTATACAGATGTATTTTTTTCCTATCAGGTTATTAGTTTTTTTTCAATATTTTATTGTAGTTGATTCATATTTTTCTTACAGCACATGTCAGCATCTAAATCTAATCTCACGAAAACACTGATTTGACTGAATGCGTGTAAGCATACCTTCTTTTTCAAGCTTGAAATGGAGTCAATGCCACAACAAATATCAAATGCCTCACTGTGGCTTTGAGATGAAGAACAGCAATGAAAATGTTCTCTCTCTATTTTTTTTCCGAGTAATTCTGTGTTATTACCTCATATACCATATCCATTCTCTTCCGCTTAAGACATGCACATTTGTAAACTACATATATAAAAAATAATCATGATCTATGGAGATAACTGTATACGTACCTGGTGAAACTCCAAGTTTAGCTTCTAACTGTTGACAGACAGGGTTCATCAAGATAATGAAACCCAACAACAAGTGTAACGTAACCAAAACCTCTACCGTATAGGCACATGGACCAGCTGACACACTCTTTATAATATTTTCATTGAGATTCTCTCCATACACCATGTATCCTACAACTGCTGTTGGCATATACATCATTAACACAACTGCAAATAGACGATTAACTACAATACCCTTCCCTTTTCACGAATGTGACCTACCGAATTAGACTATTTACCGGATTTGTAATAACATAAGCAACACGACGGGTGCCACATGTGGAGCAGGATCTGCTTACCCTTCCGGAGTACGCTTCACAAGATCATATTTAGCAAATTTGCAACACTGAGGTATGTTTAATGGGGAAAAAAATGCCATGATTTTGGCTAAATACCATAAGATTTAAATGCTCCAAAAAGGCGAAAGCAAGAGCACCTGAGATCACCCCCAGTTTTTTGTGGGGTTCGTGTTGCCTAGTCTTTAGTTTTCTATGTTGTGCCATCTGTACTATTATTTGTCTGTTTGTCTTTTTATTTTTGGCCTTGGCGTTGTCAGTTTGTTTTCGATCTATGAGTTTGACTGTCCCTCTGGTATCTTTCGTCCCTCTTTTTTAACGCTTCACAGGATCATATTTAGCAAATTTGCAACACTGAGGTATGTTTAATGGGTAGTTGAATTCACTAAACACCCCCGATTTGGGAAATGGGTCAGAATTAGAAAAGAAATTCCCTCGAACAACTGCCTCAGTTTTCACATATAAAAAGTAAATAAGATGTTTGATTTTTTTTCTTTCTTCTTTGAGATTGTCGTTGTAGAAATTTACCGCATGTAAAGCATAATGTACAACATTGTCGATACGAGATTTCATGATAATTGAAAAAAATTAATAATAAAGCGTGAAAAATAATGTACCAATCGCAGTTACTTTTAATCAAACAAGCTAGTTTGAAGATTCACCCCTTCTAATGACAGATCAAACTTTCTTCACCAAACTTTGGGAAGCAAATTATTTTACACCCACTAACACCCAACACTTATATACATGTAACACAAGGGGGAAATCGAAAACAATGTGTTAAAGACAAAATCAGAGAACATCTTTGAACAAATAGAAACGACAGTTAGCATAACAAACAGAAAACTAAGACAAAGCGACACAAACCAACCACTCTTTAACCCGCGGTGATGCTGTGGATGGATATTCGGATCTGCTTCATTAGTAACAACCGCCATGTTATTCCCGTTAAAAGCCACGGGATTATACATTATAAAACAGTGGATTGGCTTTTCTAACACTACGTCAATATGTATACATCATCTGTCTTATAAATTTTCTAGCTGATAGCTTGACCAAATTTGAAAATTTAAAATGAAAACGGTTTAATTTACTATGGTAAGTGCCTTATCCGATAGATCACCACTAAAGCTCGAACTATTTACCATGGAGATAACAAAGCTTACAAATTTACTTGCATATCCAAGGAAAGCTGCTTTTTTGAAATCTTCCTTTTTCTTCATGTCATTTATTATGGTAGGCAGTACCGAATGACCACTAACAGCAAACACCATTGTTCCGAATGATGTAGAAAACTTAAGCGGGTCTGTAGTTGAATGGGAAACAGGCTTGTGTTGGTCCTTGTCGTTTAGTGACTGGATAATTATCAAAATACACGCTATACCGGTGGTAAACGTGGCTCCCACGCCTATCGGCCTGTAATAAAAGGATGCAATAATGGTTGTTTAGTGAATTCCATAAAAAATGAAAATTAATTACTAGTAGCATTTCGTGGAGAAAAACATCACGGAAATAGTTTCGTAGTTCCCTTCACAGTATGTTTAGATTAATATAAAACTTACATTTTCTTTTTTTTTTTTGTTTGGTGGAGGTGGTGGGGTCAAACAGTTGGTTTCGAGTGTATATCTTTTTAACAAGGAATCATAAAATAGTGCGTCATGGCTGTCCCTTTCTTGATTAAACAATCTACCTATTGCACTAAAAATCAGTTAATAATACTAAACATAAATATTATTTTACCAGAAATCTGTTGGTGTTCCAAAACATATAAGTGGTGCTAGGACTCCGGCTAATATGATTAGCCAATAGCACAAAGATATATCTTTTGTCACTTTTGCCAACAACGTCTCGATGTTTCCAGCAGCTAACACCATATATACCACAGCACTGCCATAGTTGTAGATGTTCATCACAACGTTCACAATGTTTCTATAATAATTGGATAATAAAACAGATAACTCAAAATTATTCTCTTACACATATGGTTCGCATATGCTTGAAATCATGTCGATATTCCCGTGGCATCGTAATTGCAAAAGGCGCGGGAATCACCAATGATACTGCGCTAATAATTCACAACACCAGACGCGCGTTTCGTACGCATATACTTAACTAGTAGCGCTCGAATCTAAACAGCTAAAAGGCCAAAAATGAATTACGAAGTTGAACAACATTTATAAACAAATTAAAAAAAAATTCAAAGGTTGCGTCAAACTAAAACGAAAAGCAAAGTACATGTAGTCTGTTGGCTTTTTGTCAAGCTTCGAATAATAGCAGACGTTTGACGACATAGAATAAAGTGTTTTATAGGGTTGATCTTATTCCTGGAGAAATTTATCTTTGAAAGTTAGCAGATAAGCATATCAGCTTATCCGAACGTACAAAACAGGGTTCTAATAATTTTAAAAAATTTAATATGATCTCGACCTGAATATTTTTGAATAATTTCCTTGTGAAGGTTTATAAACAAATCATTTTAATGAGCGCTTGGGCAATTTCTTGTTTATTAGCATCATGCCATGAGTTAATTATTATAATACTAAAGATTAGTTTTTAAGGTTTTGTCTGCTCTATTTTGCGTCTGTTGATTTTATTTTTGATGTCATTTAAGTCGTATTCGGTAAGAGGACGGAATTCTGGCTACGACAATTGGAACGTACCCATGGCCCTCTGTGACAAGATATTACATAATGGTCAAACCCCCAAGGGTGACTGGGGAATAGAAATATGGTCACCATTGGTCTTCCTCCGACCGGCGGTAAAACCCTCGCTAAAGTGGGGCGTCCGTTTGGCTGTGCGGGATGTACAAGTTCGCAGTCACGTCCGGTCAGAATGGGGACGTTAAATCCGATGCCTCGTGTAAAGAGAGTGCCACGCTCTTTGCACGTTAAGAACCCTTGCAACAACTCTTTGAGGGGTCCGTAGGTGGCCTGTTGCAAGGCTAAATTTCTGTCCTATCCAATATACCCTCATTTCCTGTGGCAGTCTAAATTTCTCCGACCTTAATCCCGGAAGCCCCTATTACAGAACCTACCTATTGTATTTATTGTTAATTTGTTCTCGTCCTGAATATGCATGAAATATTTGCCACTGGACGTTAAGCAACCAACAATCAATCAATCAATCATAATGGTCAAATTAATTTTGGGTCTGTCAAACTTGAGAAGAGATGACCCAAACTTTAAAAATAAGAACATTTGGTTCAATAAATTCTAGTATGTTGCAATTTTCCGGCAAAAAAAAAACCTGTTCGGAAACGACAAATCTGCATACCCCGGGAGATATATGCTCACTATGCAGGCGCTGTATGAATGTTGCTATTTAACATGATATATCTAAAATGTACAAATATCCTTGTTTGAGATGTGTGGACTTTAATGAAGAATATTATACTACCCTTTAATTACATGTAGTAATCCGTATACTAGTATATAGATTTTAGTTAAAATTTACCTATATAACAATATTACCTTCCTCTTCTGCCATATGCTTTCTCCCCAATTACTGGATAAGGATCTGGCACATGTGATCGATATTCTGGATACCGTTCTTGAATGATTACCCACGATTCACCAATTAATGTGGCAGTGTATGTAGAAAATATTCCAAAGACAATAATCAAAATGAACCCGATCCAACCTGTATAATATTATACTGAAAATCATTATGTAAATAGAAAATAATATACATGAAACAAATTATTCCAAAAACATGTAAAATTGATGTCTTAGAAAAACTCATCAAAAGATTAGATGATGGTTAAAAAATTTTATGAGTTAGATAAATGGTCTAAAGATTTCTTAGAATTAACAAATATTTATTTATAGAAATGACAAGATATGGTACAGTTGCCAATGAGACTGCTGTCAGCCAGAGACTAACTGACGAGGTATTAAGGAATGTTTTTATTACTCCTCTATCTAAAAATTATTGATTTAGATTTTTTGCAAATAAATTCCGTTGATAACAATGGAATACAGACTACAATTTCAGGATAAAGATTAGGGTGGGTTAACGGTATCTTTTAATTCATTTTTCTTGTGGACTATTTATGAATTGACAAGATAAAAACGCAATTTTTGTCTTAAACTTCCAAAAACTCTTATAAACTGTAATTCAATAATATATTACCTGTATCTTCAACAGCTTTTGGTAGGGCTAATACGCCACCACCTGCTATATTTCCTACGATAAAAACAGACGTCGTCCAAACTGTAAGGCCATGTTTATTGTTCTGTAAAATAATAGGTTCCATTTTATAGCGTGTGGGTCCGTATACATGTTATTACATGAAGCAATGCGATTGGAGGTGTGTTTGATTCCGTCTACACTTATCTGATGAACACAATTGACGAATTATTCAATGAAAATACTTTACTTATCAAGGATAAAGCTATCTATTTTCAAGTTGAGTTATTAAAAATCTGAAGTGGGAACATATTTGTTCTATTTATTTCCCTATTTGCTATAATTAGTGTGTACATGAATATTGATAAAATGCAAAAACAGTTTATTTATACATTATATTATTTCTGTTTAGTTTTGTTTGTGATTTCCACGGTTTTCTCAGACATTTTAACATAACTTCAAGTTTTCTTTTACCTCTTGTATCAACGTCCACTGTTCCATCTCTTTTTATCTAAAAAATGAAAAAGCCAATTCTTGTCAAAAACATAAAGAGCAATTAATCCCCGCTATATCGTATAAATGTTTTCTCATATTTATGCAAAAATTTAATAAATTCAACACATTTGATTGATGATCAGAAACTTAAATTAACGGAAAATTCTCGGACATAATAATAGAACGAAAATGGATAACAGAAATTTCCAAACATACTGGGCAGGGTTTAATATTCATCTGAGTACTTACATAAATCAATACATATATATATTTATTTATTTAGAAACTACCCCTTTACAACGGGGGACACTCATATGTCATTTTCAGAGCTAAAAATTGGTACATTATAAAATAAGACATCTTACATAAGAAAAATACACATTATGTACAATATTAAAATATGAACTAAACTAAGAGTTACGTAAACATATTACATAAACAAAAAACATTTAAAGTTTAGGTTCCAAAACCAAAGATCTCTGAGTGTGCATTTCGCTCAACATTTTCTTACTTAAACTGTCCAAAGTATTACTGATGTAAGGATCAATCTGATAAAAATAATCACCAATAAGTATTTGTATTTTATCGTAGGACGATAACTCTGTGAAGCAGAGGCCCGGGAAAGTAAAACTTAGATATTCATTTATATCAGAACACTCTAGAAGGCAATGTTCAATAGACTCGTCAGAATTACATAAACATATTTGGCAAGTGTGACTCTCGCTAAGATTCATCCTATACAAGACTTGGTTCACAGGTAAACAATTTGTACGTGTTAACAATTTTAGTCTTGCAGACTTAAAGTCCAGCAAGTTCGACAGATAGGGTTGCCTTCCTTGTGCAAAATTAAATTTGGAGAAAATATCTAGACTGCTTTTATCATTTATTTCTTGATATTCCCTTCTACGAACAAACCTTCTAAGAAACTGTTTAAATATATTAGAGTTAACATTCGAGTTGTAAAAGTGATCCAGACCAACCATATTAAATAAATTTATCATATGTTGCGGATAATTCCACCCCCTTTGAAACGTTAGGGACTTAAGTTCTTCAAATACAAGTCGACACAATGTACGTGTGCCAAGACCTTGAATCCTAGCAAAATAAGACACCCTTTGTCTATCAAGAAAAACGTTTATAGGCTCCCATCCCAAGTCTAGGAAAAGGGCAGCTTTTGGGATATTCATCTTAGTATTAAAAATCAGTTTCGCCGTTTTATATTGCCATGTTTCAAGTATTTGTTGACTTGAAGCAGATGACGGTAGCCATACGGCATATCCGTGTGCTAGAGACGGTCGGATGACCGAGTTCCAGAGAGCATCCCTAAAAGATATGCGATTAAAAGATCCGTGCATGCTCATTAAGTAGCTAAGTCATATAATTCAGTTTGCGCTCGAAAATATCTTTTAAGAAATGATTGATATGGTAAGCAAAGGTCAAAGAGCGGGTAAAATAAACTCCAAGATATTTATATTCATTAGTCTCGTCCAAATGCTCGTTTCCTAGGTACCATTTCTTAGTTTTATCTCAGCGTTTGCCTACTATCATAATCTTAGATTTGTTTGGGTTAAACTTTAAATTCCACTTTGATGCAAATTTTGCTGTTATATCTAGCAGACACTGCAGTTCCTTCTTTGACTTCCCGATAAGAACCATATCATCAGCAAACATCAAACAGTTCAAAATTTGTGAAGAGAGCTCGACGCCCAAATTACTGGTTTCAAGCATACCTATGAGGTCATTCATTAAAACAGAAAAAAATGTTGGAGACAAAACACAGCCTTGTTTCAAGCCAAGTTCTTGGTCGAAGAAACCTGTTTCACTAGCATCAATCAAGACTTTATTTGATACATTGCTATAAAGAGATTTGAGCAATTTTCAGCACTTGCCTTGAATGCCATTTTTCCACAATTATAGATAGAAAAGGCCATCTCGCCAGACTCTATCAAAAGCCTTGGACAGGTCTAGGAAAGCGAGAAACGTTTTATGTTTTTTTAGCTTTACGAATAGAACAAATACCTTGCAGTGTAAAAATATGGTCCTCGGTTCTTCTGTTTTTTCGAAATGCTCCCTGGACCTCGCCTAAAATATTATTTTCTTCCAAATGGGACATTACAGATTCTTCCAAAATTTTTGCATATACTTTTTAAACATTAGAAGTAAGCGTGATACCTCTGTAAAGGAGATGTAGTATGATTAACAATGAGACAAATATCAACCAGAGTCAAAACTAATGACGTGCACTTAAGCAACTATAATGTGTCATCATAGGGCCTTCAACAATAAAAAAAAAGTATTTGAAAGTTGTGCAATTTGTTTAACAGAAACAATTAAAAATCTGACAACAACCGAGAAAATGTGTACTACACAGAAATTCAAACCTTAATCATACATATACAACTTTATAAATCAGTGGTTTTTCAAACGCATAAATTCTGACAAATTCCAGGTCAAATCATATTGTGTTTTCATATGTAAGAAAACAAAATCCACAACTAAAATTTTGCCAATCATTACGCAATATAAATAAAAAGAGGTGTGGGACGAGCTTCAAATTTACGTGAATGAAAAAACCAACCCAAGAATATGCTAAAAACGACAATAGTAATCGAATGTCAACAAGTTGTCCTATACCTTTGTTATATCGTTCGATGGTTTAGGTACTAGTAATTGGATTAGCTGACGGATCGGAGTACCATATGACTGCTCGGTTTGAGTTCAAATACGGTTTTGTGAATGATAAAATGGCTTTGCATGCATGAACTGCAATGTATGTAAGACGGTTCATCAAAAGTTTTTTGATTGGTTCCTCTGGCACTTTCGCGCCCTTTGCCGCCTTTAAAAAAACCTTATCAAAGATATCAGCTGGTCTATGACAATAATACTAAACGGACCCATATGATATTATAATGACCTGAGGAACGTGGTGTTAATTAGAAAAAATATTAATCAATTGATTCATTCAAGACACCAGGTGATGACAATATATAGATCGCGTTGAAAGACGGGTTGTGATTTGAAGTAAATTGACATTATGTGACTTTTCTGCTCAAATGACGGATGATGGCAATTTACAGAAGGAGATGTGGTATGATTGCCAATAAGACAACTATCCACAAGAGTTCAAAAGAAGTGGATGTAAGCAATTAAAGGCAACCGTACGGCCTTCAACAATTAGAAAAAACCCATACCGTATAGTCGGCTATAAAAGGCACCAACATGAAAAATATGAAACAATTCAGTTGAGAAAACTAACGGCATTATTTATAACAAAACAATTTACGGAAAACAAAAATGACACGAACCAAAGACAACCACTGAACTTCAGGCTCCTGATTTGGGACAGGAATATAAAGAATGTGGCGGGGTTAAAAATGTTGGTGAGCGCTCAACCCTCCCCTCAACCTGGGACAGTGGTTTTACAGCACAGAAGAACAAAGTATAAACAACAGTTGAAAAGGGCTTGACTCATTAGATCGATACAAAGAAGAATAACATCAAACAAAACACAGACCAGACGTGGCAGGATATTTATATATCTCTAACAACAAAAAAGACACAAAGTATAGATCTGAGAGTACTCGCAGTTACTGACAGCTAGTCAAAAGCCAATAATAACTAATGAAAAAAATCTAGTCTTTATGAAATAATCAGTATTTAGGTCTTCAGACAGTGATCATATTGATTAAAATAAACAATTTGAAAATATACATACTTATATATTCTATTGCACTATTGTTGAGAATTACGACAATCAGTCATGATAGTTTAACTGCACTGTCATTTCTATAAATCAGTTTACACATTATTACATATACATTTACACAACAATTTTATCAGAACAAACAATATGAGATACTGTTTATCAGGTTATTTTCACGTCGAGATTTGTTTGCGTTAAGGTCGTTGAAGGGACAAATACATCGTCGTCGTGTTCATTCTACGCCTTTTATAGTTTTGTTATATATATTTGAATGGGCAGTGCAATATTGCGCAGAGCTACTTTTGCGTAAAAATGTCTACTGCAAACGTAGCGTTTAATAGACATATGAACAAATGAGTAGATTCACGAAGCTTTAAAAGTGGCCTTGAGAATTGGATGTTTTTTTTAATCTGGCCTAAATACCAGAGATACAAAATATCTTCTGTAGTACATGTTGTGCCTGTATGAAGTAAGGCTATCTAGATCTTGTGTTTATCGTTGGTTTTTGTCTTTCTTGGTCTCTGGTGGATAAGTGTCTCATTTACAATCCTACCACATTATTTATTTTCTTGTTTGTTTTTCTTTTCGTCGTCTTTCTTTTTTGCGATGGCGTTAGCACTCGCGTAACAACAATAGACGAAAACGACCACTACCAACCGACGCCTCTAAATAACAAGGAGATGTAGTATGATTGACAATGAGAAAATATCCAAAAGAGTCAAAATAATGGCATGCATGTAAGCAACTATAATGTGTCATCGTAGGGCCTTTGTGAACGTGGAATAGTTCGTTTTGGTTTGTTTGTTGGTATATGGCTATAATAGCTGGAATGAAAAACCAATTCTTTGTAAAATAATAGATCTTTATTAATTGCTGGTCAATGTTCAAGTGCATACATGATAAACAATACATAATAAGTTCATACATATATAATTGAAATAACATTAATTATTTAAACTGAATGCATAATAATATAAAGATGGAACATATATATTCGCATTGTAAAACAATAAAGATAAAATGGGGGAGCTAACTAGCTCAATTAAATTAATGTGCTGATGCCAAATAATGTCAACATGAGTGAGACAAGGGCCTCTTTTTGAATTTTGATAAGTGTTGCCATGGTAACCAAATAATTTACTTTAGAACTAAGTTAAATTAATGAAGTGTAAACAGAACATTATTAATTTAAACACAAGAGTATAAAACATTATACTTATATACAACAATGAAATCTGAACAATAAAAATGTATATGGCTACAAGGAGAGAATTGCGCTTTATTTTCATTTCTAGTTCTGACTTTAAAACAACCATTTATACATGATTCGAATGCATACTTAAACTGTCTTAATTACTAAATCAATATACACAACTCTGGTTGTTACCTTTGAGCCTTCATAGTGAATAAAATGCACATTCTTAATAATTTTGCATTTGACGCAGTGTTTATTTTATTCTTAAAAGTGGAGATAACTCTGTTAAATACAGCTTAATATCGCTCTGTTTTTCAACATAAAAAATGGAATGAAACGTACCATAACTACTTGCGCTTTATGATCAGATTCAAATTAACTACTAAATAACTCAATAAAAATACCGACGCTAAAGAATATTTACACGATAAAGCAAATGACTAAAATAAGTAAGTCTTTTCTTTCAAATACTTAAACATTATGAAATATCAAAATATGTGACAAAGTCGCGTTATTTAAACATTGCAATTATCTAATTATTAAAAAGAAGGATAAAAAATGCTAAATTCAATAATAGGAAACATAAAGACTTTGTCTCTAAAACATGACTATTTACATTAGAAAATTCTGTAATTGTAAAAATACTTTTAACTTCAAATAAGCTGTTACGACTGCAACTATACCCTTTTTAGTTTCTAATATCTTAACATCTAGAGAATTATCATTTAAAATATCAATGCATAAAACATGAAAATATTCATTTAAAAATATCAACTTATAAAACTTAAAGTTACACTCACCTGGAATGAAAAACCAATTCTTTGGAAAATAATAGATCTTTATTAATTGCTGGTCAATGTTCAAGTGACCACAATTTCATAAAATACAAATTTTGTTTCATTCCCAGGTGAGGCCCAATTAGGTAAAATAATTATATACACAAAGGAAAATATCTCATAAACCCTGTCACTGGCCCCATGTCACCTAAGAGCTAAAATCTATGATAGCGTGGTCTTAATCCGGACATGCTAATCCAACATATAGTCAAAGGTTACATAATATTTGCTATCGCTAATAGATAATATAATAAACTCTAATTTATAGCTTTTGTAAATCTTTTGTAGAAAAATGACAATTTATAGCTATTTTATTTCTTTGTCTAATTCTGGTATTTTATATAATCTCTTTAAAAATTAACTTATAAATTCGGGTGACATGACGACAGTGAAATTCTTTTTATTTATAAAATAAATTAAAACTCATTTCTATTAAAACTATAGTAAAAATAAGTAAAAGATCTATAAGAAAAAGTGATGGTGCATTTTTCCTTATCACAAATATCCCCGTCATTAAAGATTCTTTGTCCTCAAAGAACATAAGAAATAAAGTAAAAAAATCCAAATATCTAAAAGTTTCCCTCTGGGATCAAGTCAACATACACTTCTGAAATACATATTTGCAACAAGTCACATGAATACAATAGGATATTGTGCCCTTTTTCAGCATACACGCATACAATTCAAATATTAATGTTTTATGTCACACAATGTAAAATTTGAATAAATAGGTATATCTGTGAAAGAATTGTATCGTACCAGTGTTCATATTGAGGCAATTCACATTACTATGGCAATCAATAAACAACCTTGAAAAAATTGTTGTGTACAACTAAAATGTATGATGTGAATGGTGATTTAAAAATGTTTCTCAACATTTTTGCTTTAATGGATTGACTGTAAACGTGTCAGGTACCTTGATTTGTTGTTTTGTGTGAACATTTACTATGCTTAAGCCTGACATTTCAACATGTAGTTTTTTATAAAAAGTACCAGATATTCTCATGTTTGTTATGTTATTTGGTGTTGCAATATCCCAATCTGATGGACATAATGGTAAATTGACAACTGGTATTGTCAAGCATGTTAAACCATTGCTGATTTCAAGTATGATTTTAGTGTGATGTCTTGTGCATACTTGTTTATATAAATAATGCAATACTCCAACAAATGAGATAATTGTGATTGCTGCCAACACAATTGATGGCCACTGATTTAACTGTGGTGATAATAATGAATCATAATTTTGAGTTGTTGATATAGGTGATTGCATGTAATGAAATGTTGGTGGTGTTTGTGGTGTCACAAATGCAGCTGATGATGGAGCTTTTTGTAACAGTATAAGTGCTGTTGTCAAGGCACGAACTTTGTTAAATAGTGCAATGCAAGCAATCGTCAAAAGTATTGATAACACAAGAGATATTAGCGAGATCATCTCATTTGTGTTTGGCCAAGAATCGTCGATATCAATTTCACCATCAAGTAATGGTTCTGACAATGAGGTAAATATTTTTCTGTCTGCTTTTGCTGCTTTTGCTATTCTTTTCAGGCTTAAGTGTAAATTATTGTCTTGTGCAATGACTGAGTTAAATGTATGGTTATAAAAATGAAGGTTGGGAAGTGTAATGTCTGCTGGGTCTGTAAAAGTTGTGTCACCTAATATCGAATTATAAGTTTCTGATGAGAAAAAGTGTTGAATAAGTGCTAAATTTACTGGATGTACTATAGTCACTGTATTTGTACTGTTATCGCACAATCCTTTTTTTGCAGGTATAAATAACGAATCTGTTTTTACAGAACAAAGACATGGAACATGTATAATACAAAAGGAACATCCTTTTTCAATTTTATGACCTGATGGACAGTCAAAAGCAAGTGTTTTGGTTTTGTATATAAGTAAACTTGTGTCAGTTATTTCTTTGACTGCTGGCTGTATGATATTTGTAAGGAATCGGAAATTGCAATTTGAATGTACGCTTTCTTTGTCATTGAACAGTAGTGCAAAGGAACAACTTGGTGAAACAGATGAAAGTAAAGGAAAAGTTTTTGTGCAGTACAGTGTATCTATTCCTGAACATGTTTTTACAAATTCATCTGATAATTCTGCATACTGTCTGTTATCAGATGTGATTACTAAGTACTGTGGGAGATCTAATAATTGAGTTGCGTGATTGCTGGTTGTATTTATAGGTACAGGGTATGAGTTTATTTTGTATAGAGTGAGTGGATTCACAAATGTAGTAATTGGAAATTTGATGCTAATGAATAAATTTTTGTGATGTCTAGTATATAAAATGTTAGCTTGTGAATAATAATATGATGGGTTCACATTATTTAAGTAAAAACCTTTGAATTTGTCATTTAAGATAGATTGAATATGCTGAATTGTACGTTTGAGATTTTGTGGTGAAATTAAAAATGGTGATAATTTGCCTTTAACTAACTCATGGACAGCTATTTTGAGTTCTTCTAGATACTTATTAATTTCAGCTGTTTCATTCATTTGTTTGAGTAAAAATTTTGACAATTTGATGCTTAGTTTCTCAAATTGTGAGATGAATTTTGCAGTTTCTTTAGTGATATTTTGAATACCTTCATAATTGTTTTTTATACCAACTATGATATTATCAAATCTCTTATTTGTTTTTGACATATATGATGATAACAATTTATCGTGATGTGTAATATCTTTTGCAAATTGATTATTTCTTCTGATTAAAATGTTTACATGTTTTGCTAGTCTATTTACATCCTCAGTAGTTGCTGTGCCAAATAAAGATTTGGAAATTGAACCAATAAAGTCAAATAGTCCACGCTTTAGTCTAGATTCTGTATTGGATTTGTCTTCAATATCAATATGTGGAATAAGTTTATGAATAACATCGACTGTGTGATTCACATTTGATGATACTTGAGTTCTAATTGCAGTAAGTTGTGATAAGACTTGGTTTAAAATGTAACAATGTTGATGTGTAATATCACATTGTTCAAAGTGATCATCAGTTTGTTTGCTAGGAAGGGGAATCTTGAAAGTGTGAAGCCAATTTTCACGACCCGAAAGTAAATTTGGTTGTCTCTCAAACACTACTCCATAATTGATACGCTGTATCTGGTGCACCTTGTCAGCTGACACATATATCATTATCCACAACCATATAAAAATCCTGGCAAGACTTATAACTCCTATAGAAAACAAAGAAAAAGGAAATTGATAGAATGTGAAATGTTTGTTGGGTAAGAGGTTGCATGCCTCTTTTAGCACTAAGTAACATGAGCATAGGCTCATAATTTTTAACAAACATTACACAGAAAGCAAAGAAAGAATTTTATAGTAAGAGTGTTCAGTTATGCCAACATCCTCATATAATGTTTCACAGATAGATAGGTGACCAATGTATGAAGTTTTAGATATATATGTAAAATTGTAAAAACCACTACCGTAAAAGTTATATATATATATGTAATAATCTATCTCATGAAAGTCAATTGTAAGAAAAATTTTCAAAATTGCTATACAAAACATGGATTCCTTTGTGGGCGTTTGCGTCTTCTCCCCTGTTGTGTTTTCGTAGCATGGAAATTATTGATAATGTCATCACTTAAATCTTTGGCAAGTTGCCATGTAAGTCCTCTGTAACCTTTCCACTTTATTAAATATTGTTTTTGACCGTCAATTGTCCTTGACCTAATAATTCTTTCTATTGGGTACTCCTGGTCATCATTTTGATCCTTTGGATCTGCATCATTGTCATCATCATCAACAATAGGTGCTTGTTGTGCCTCCTGTTGAGGTTGTACTTGTGGCTGAACTGGCATTGGTAAATCTGGACGAGGCACATCCATGGGAGGTGCGTTTAAATTTTGTCTGTGATCAGGTGGGTGGTATAGTTTTAGCCTGTTTGCATTGATCATACTTTTGAGTAATTTATGGTCGCTACATCTGCGCAATTTGTATGTGTAATTCGAACCTTTGTCAACAATGTAGAATGGTCCATCTTGTTTCTTGTAAAGTTTGGAAGAATATCCAACTGGTACTTTTGGAGTAAATACTAAAACTTGGTCGTTTACTTCAAACTTTGGCAATTCTGTACGTTTGTCATAATTTGTTTTCTGCTTTTGTTGAGCATGGTTTAAGTTTTCTGTAGCTATTGCCTTAGCTATTTTCAAGTTGTCCAATATATTATCAATATGTGTTTTCAGGTTTTTGTTAAGATCTTCCCTTGGGATAAGGTTGACATCAAAAGGAAGGTTCATGTCTTTGCTAAAAACAAGATAGAATGGAGAGTACTCTGAAGAAGCAGATGGAGTCATGCGAAAAGCCATTAGAATACCAGGCAGTAGTTCTGGCCAATTTGACTGTTGTTCATTAATGACAGTTCTAATGCATTGTATGATGGTTTTGTTGGTACGCTCAGCAATTGAATTTGTTTGAGGATGGTAAGAGCTTGTGAAGGAATGTTTGACATTAAAAATGTGGTTAACTGCTGCAACAAGCTTGCTCATGAATCCTTGACCACGATCTGTACAGATGGAAACTGGGCTTCCAAATCTTGTAAATATCTCCTTGTGTAATACAGAGGCAATTTCTGCTGCACTTTCTGACTTAACTGGAAAACATTCTACCCATTTACTGAAGGAATCGACTATGATCAAGATGAAGCGATGTCCTTCGCTTGTCTCTCTCTTAAAAGGACCAATAAAGTCCATGTGCCATCGAGCAAATGTATCTGTAATTGGCATTGGTGTCATTGGAACTCTTTTGGAATGTGGTGGATATTTTGCTTTTTGACATGGTTCACAACCTCTAATGTATTCTGTAACTACTTGGTACATGCGTGGAAAATAGTACTTTTCTTGAATAGACTGGTATGTCCGATCAAAACCAAAGTGTCCGTGATCATGGTATGCCTTCATTAGATCATTTCTAAGTGTACGTGGCAATGCAAGTTGTTTAATGAACCTTTTGATTTTTCTTAAACCTTTTTGTCTTGGTTGGTACTGATGATACAGGACATCATCTTGCATGATATATTGGCTTGCCTCTAGGACAACCTTTTGTGCTATTTTCTTGTCATCTGGTAGTGTGTTGTTTTTAACATATTCATATATGAGACTAAAATCTGGACATTCACTCTGAAGTTTGCCTATTTCTATGGGTATGATATCAGATGTTGTTAATTCTGCAACTAAAGGTGATTTGCTTTTAGGCTGATCAGAATAGACAAAAGTAACTTCAAGAAAAGGATTTTCAGATTGGTCAATAGTATGAATTGAAGGAATGACATCTTCAGGTTCAGAAATATCAGATTCTTTTGTGACTGGATATTCACGTCTAGAAAGACAATCAGCAACAACATTTGTTTTACCTTGTCTGTATAAAATTTCCATGTCATAACCTTGTAACAAAACTGACCATCTGGCCAAGCGACCAGTAGATTGTTTGATGTTGTTCAGAAATTTTAGAGCATTGTGATCTGTATACACTTTAAAATGTTTGTATGCTAGGTAAACATGATATGTTTTGACACCTTCCAATATAGCTAGACATTCATGCTCACTAGCTGACCATTTCCTCTCTGCTTCCGTTAAACTTCGACCACCATAAGCTATAACTTTCTCTTGGCCTTCAGAATCTAATTGAGCAAGAAAATAACCAATAGCTGTGCCGCTGGCATCAGTGGTAAGAATAAAGTCTTTCGACATGTCAGGATAAGCAAGAATAGGAGATGAAATCAGAGTCTTTTTGAGTTTATCAAAAGCAACTTGACAATCCTCTGTCCATTCAAAAGGTACATTGTCCTTAGTCAGATTATGCAATGGACCTGCAATGTGGCTATACCCTTGAACAAATTTTCTGTAATAGTTACAGAGACCTAAGAAACTTCTGACCTGTTTTTCAGTTTTAGGCACAGGAAAAGATTCTACAGTTTCAATTTTAGATTTGTCAACTTCAACACCTTTCTTAGAAACTTTATGGCCTAGATAAATGACTTCTTTTCGTGCAAACTGACATTTGCTTGGTTTAAGTGTGAGATTTGCAGCTTTCAATCTGTCAAAAACAAGCTGAAGATGTTTTAAATGTTCTTCAAATGTTCTGCTAAAGACAAGTATGTCATCTACATAGACTAGAGCAATCTGGTAATTGAGACGATGAAGAACCTGAGTCAAAAGATGTTGAAAAGAAGATGGTGCTGCTGATAAACCAAAAGGAAGCCTTTTCCACTGATAAACTCCACTAGGAGTGACAAAAGCAGATTTATGAGCCGTGGCTGGGTCTAACTGACATTGCCAATATCCGGACAAAAGATCTAAAGTTGTGAATATCTGCGCTTGTGAGCGCCCTAAGGAGTCAAGAACATCCTCAATGCGAGGCAAAGGAAAAAACTTGGGACGTGACACCTTATTAAGGGAGCGAAAATCACAACAGAACCTTAGTTCTCCCGATTTCTTTTTGCACATGACTACAGGTGCAGCCCATTCACTGGTGGACTCTTCTATGATACCGTGTTCAAGCATTTTGTCAATTTGTTTGTTCATTTCTTCTAGAACTGGTGGAGATTGTCTGTAAAACCTTTTTCGTATTGGTGGCGCATCACCAGTGTCAATTGTATGTTTGTATAGATTTGTATTTCCTAGTTCACTAAGATCTTTGGCAAAAACTCGTCTATTTTTAGAAAGAAATGCTTGGAGAATAGTTTTTTGATCTTCAGACAGATCTGAGTCACTAAAATCAAAGTCTAAGATGTCACACTGATCATCAGATTTAGAATTCTGAGTTTTCTTATCAACTTGAGTGTCTGTTAAAGAAATGATAGATTTAGAGTCAACTGCAGAAACTGAAGCAACAACAAAGTTAGCTGGCAAATGAATAGTTTTTTCTGTAGGATTCATCACTCTCATGAAAGAATTGCCAGTGTCATCTAGTTGAACAATGGACTTTGCCCCAGCTAATGATTGACTTGGTAATGTGTGCAAGGGTTCTAAAAGAGCAGTTTGGTTTCTTAAATTGGACACTTTGACTGGAATGTCAACTTGATGTAACCCTTTGATGTGAATGTGTCTCTTTGTGCGAGCTAATCCATTGTTTAACTCTACAGAATGGACAAGTTTTTCATCAGTGTCTGGCTCTGGGATAAACAGAGTGTTAGAGGGACAATCAATGATTGCTCCATTTTCAGTTAGAAAATCAAATCCTAAAATCATACTTTGTTGCATTTTGGAAAAGACATGAAAACGATAGACAAAAGAAATATTTCCTATAGTAAAAGGCAAAAGGATAAGTCCTAAAATGGGATGGTGTTCACCCCCAACACCTACAGCATCTTGAACTCTTGTTCGCTGAATTTGTTTAAGATCAAAGTTTAAAGATTTGAGTAAATTTACTGAGCAGCAGCTAATAGCTGCTCCTGTGTCAACCAAACTTTTTACGTTGTTACCTTTTATTGTAACGTGAACTGTATTGCCATTTAATTTTGACAACTGTGCAATTTCTGGTAATTTTAAATTTTCATTTTTATGTGTTTCTTTTCTGTTTTTGAAATTTCTGTTTTGGTGTTGTCTCTCTTGCCTTTGTTTTGTGTGTCAATAATCTACCCTATAATTAGATTGTCTTGGTTGCCAGTTTTGTGAATTAGATTGTTGTCTTGGTTGCCAGTTTTGTGAATTTGCCTTTCGCTCATCAAATTCTTTCTTATCACATACCTCTTTAAAATGACCAAACTTGTGACAATAAAAACATTCAACATTGTATGCTGGGCATTTTCTCCTATCAAATACATGTGACTTACCACAAAACTTGCATTTGGTCAGTGACTGCTGCCTTGATCCTCTATAATTTTGACTGTAATTTGGCTTGTTTTGATCATGATGAGGTACACCCACTGCCATCACTTGTTCTTTAAAAACTGATCTAATACCCTCTACTAAAGAAGAACATAAATCATTAATTGAATGTACATTGTTTACACTTTCTACATTTAATTTTTGAACATTTTGTGTAGTTATGTTTGTATTGTTCGTGTTAACATCACTAGCTTTACATTCTGCTACACTAGTTGCAAGGTAAATTGCTTCTCTTAATTCATTTATTGTTTTGGGATCTTTCCCTACCACAAACGGTTTGATATCTGGGTTAAGCCCATTTTTACATAAACCCACAATTGTCTGCTCACTAATGTTCTGTGCACCACTTGCTAGGTTTTGCACTCTAGTTAAGTACTGTATCCCGGTCTCATGCGGATGTTGTTTAAGGCGGTACAACTCATTGTTTGTGTTATGGTGTTTAAATCTGTCCAGAAAAGCAGCTTTCAAATTTGTCAGATCATCACGTGTTTCTGTAGGTAAGGAATGATACCATGTTGAGGCTTGTCCCTCCACATGAAATGAAAATGCAGCTAAAGCTGCCTCATTCTGATAATTTTGTAGTTTAATGTAATTTTCAAACATGGTCCACCAAATGGCAGGAACCTGGCTTGTTTCATCATGAAAATGAGCTAAATTTATATGTGACATTACTCGTTTTGTATTATTTGTCAAACCTATTGGAATAATTTGCACTATCTGTTGTTCAGCTTCTGGTTCTATTTCTATTTCTTCTTCTGCTTGTTCTGTGTCTTGCAAATTTATCTGGTTATTTGCTACTGGTTCCTGTTCAGTTATGTTGACAATCTCTGTTTGATCGTCACCTGGTTGTTGTTCGGTTATGTTTACCAGAATTTCCTCTAGATCTGTGGAGTATATGTCCTCTGCGACTTGTGCTTTGGCCCTTGTGTTATAATTGGACGGTGTTGCCCCTGTCGTTGACTTGGCACCAGCTGTGTTTCTGTATGGCATGTAGACAGTAGAGCGAGGTAACAGGAAAGAGTCAGTCCTCTACCAATTTGTAAAATAATAGATCTTTATTAATTGCTGGTCAATGTTCAAGTGACCACAATTTCATAAAATACAAATTTTGTTTCATTCCCAGGTGAGGCCCAATTAGGTAAAATAATTATATACACAAAGGAAAATATCTCATAAACCCTGTCACTGGCCCCATGTCACCTAAGAGCTAAAATCTATGATAGCGTGGTCTTAATCCGGACACGCTAATCCAACATATAGTCAAAGGTTACATAATATTTGCTATCGCTAATAGATAATATAATAAACTCTAATTTATAGCTTTTGTAAATCTTTTGTAGAAAAATGACAATTTATAGCTATTTTATTTCTTTGTCTAATTCTGGTATTTTATATAATCTCTTTAAAAATTAACTTATAAATTCGGGTGACATGACGACAGTGAAATTCTTTTTATTTATAAAATAAATTAAAACTCATTTCTATTAAAACTATAGTAAAAATAAGTAAAAGATCTATAAGAAAAAGTGATGGTGCATTTTTCCTTATCACACCTTCAACAAGAAAAGTATTTATAAGTTATGCAATTTGTTTTAAAGTAACAATTAAAAATCTGATAACAACCGAGAAAATGTGTGCTACACAGAAATTCAAACCTTAATCATACATTTACAACTTTATAAATCAGTGGTTTTTAAAACGCATAAATTCCGACAAATTCCAGGTCAAATCATATTGTGTTTTCATATGTAAGCAATCAAAATCCACAACTGAAATTTCGCCAATCATTACACAATATAAATAAAAAGAGGTGTGGGACGAGCTTCAAATTTACGTGAATGAAAAAACCAACCTAAGAATATGCTAAAAACGACAGTAGTAATCGAATGTCAACAAGTTGTCTTATACCTCCGTTATATCATTCGATTCGTTCATTAGTTAATGTAATTGGATTAGCTGACGTATCGCGGTACAATATGGCTGCTCTGTTAAAAAATACCACAAAGTTAACATATCAATAGTTTTGATATAACTAAAGATACAAAATATCTTTTGTAGTACATGTTGTGCCGGTATCAAGTAAGGCTATCTAGATCTTGTGTTTATCGTTAGTTTTTGTCTTTCTTGGTCTCTGGTGGATAAGTGTCTCATTGAAAATCCTACCACATTTAATATTGATTTTGTTATCAGTAAATTAAAAGCAAACTAAACATTATTGTTATAAACATATGCACTTTCATGGATCCTGTATCTTGGCATTGCACAAAAGTCATGTTTTTCGCTGACTGTTTATGGCGTCTTTACACAAAATCCATGGGATGTTGGATGTGTACTGATTGATAAATTAGTCTTAGATACATGAATTGTTTTATTAGTTGTTATTGGCTTTGAACTAGCTGTCATTAAGTGCGAGTACACTCAGATCTGTACTTAGTGTCTTTTTGTTGTTTGGATGTACAAGATTCCACCCACGTCCAATCTGTGTTTTTCTTTTATGTACTTCTATCTATCCATCTGATGAGTTAAGCCTTTTTCAACTGATTTTTATAGTTCGTTGTTATGCTGTACTGTTAAATCACTGTCCCAGGTGAAAGGAAGGGTTGGGATCTCGCTAACATATTTAACTTCCGACACATTCTGTATGTATGTGCCTGTCCCAAGTCAGGAGCCTGTAATTCAGTATTTGTCGTTTGTTGCTGTGTTACATTTTTTTTGTACACTTATTAGGCCGTTAGTTTTCTCGTTTGAATTGTTTTACATTTATGATTTCGGGGCCTTTTATAGCTGACTATGCGGTATCGGCTTCGCTCATTGTTGAAGGTCGTACGGTGACCTATAGCTGTTGATTTCTGTGTCATTTGGTCTCTCGTGGAGAGTTGTCTCATTAGCAACCATACCACATCTTCCTTTTTTATATTCACAAAGAAAGATAAACAGCAACGATCAACGCAATATACAGATAACATGACTTAATACAGGCACAAAATGTACTAAAGTTAAAACCAAGTTTACGTGTATACTTTTCGTTTCCTTGAATTCTTTATTTGTAGAATTTTATTAATTTAAAAAAATTAAGAACTGAATAAAGAAAAATAACAATTTTGTTTTATAAATTTGGTGCGTGTGTTTTTCATTATTTATTTTTACCAGGAATGCTAAAACCAAAAACTTTGAAAAACAAGAATGTGTAAGGGTTCAAATACTTGAGGAGCTGAATATCTACATACATATAGTAACTTATTTATTTCGTTTTATTCAATTTCACATACGTATACTGGAACGTTATAATGAAATGTTAATAGAAACCAAAATGTTTTTCCTAGTACTTACTTCTTTTTTAAGTTTTATTTTCTTGTTTATCTAACTTTGTCTTTATTTTCTACTGTAAACTTGTTATTTCTACTAACACAACATCTATTTATCTTTCGAAATTTATCACAGTTTGCTTTCGGGTTTGAATAATTACTTCTAGTTTGTCACTTATTTCGTTTTTATTCTTCCTAATCTCCTTTGCTTTTGTGGATTCCTTCACACAGATACAGCTTTATCTATCGTAACAACGTGTTCAATTTTCTGTGGTGTACTGTAACACAATCGGCACAACATTGTTGTGAGAGACTTGCAGTATATTTCGATAGTCTTATCTAGATGTTCATCGCAAGAAATAGAAGCAAACATATTTGGAGCATACATTTATATCTGTAATGACTACTAACTTGTGGTTCCGAGTACTTTTGAATCTTTCATGAATGACTTCACATGGTCCACTATACGCTTCGACACAAACAGTGCACCATGAAACTGCTTTGTGAGAGATGTTCTAATTGCTACAAGCATCGCAAACTTTCTTTGCTTTCTTCATAGCCCTCCTGTCAATCAAATGTTTTTAAAGTCAGTTTCTAGACCACACCTCAGGTTTCTCCGTACTGTATCCACACGATACAATGCCTCCGCATACTGGGCACTCGAATCCCTCTAGTTTTTTTTTTCGCCTTTTACAGTTGAAACAAAAAAGACATGTATACAGGTCTCACAGAGTGGATGCAGACACGGTACATAATTTGGCAGTTTACAAGTTCCAAAACAAATAGTCAAGGTTAATTAAGCAGCAAATTCCTTTATACGTTCCTCGAATTCGATTAATAAGCTAAAGCAGTACAATAATTTTATAATGCATTTGAAAAAAGACATTTGAGTTATTGGGAAACCAGCTGTTACCGTGCGTATTGAAGATGCAAGCAAAAAGAGAAACCCTTGTTCAAACATAATTGGATTTATCACTTGAAAAGCTTTATTCGATCAATGGTGAATGATTGATGTTCCTTGAATTCTTTTTCTGACCTAGTGATGTCGCACATTCGAACACTCGCAAACACATGCATTCAGGTTTCAAAAAAGTCTTAGGTAAATTTGGTAAGTAATTTTTATAAAATTTTCAATCTTCTTATAACTCAGGAATTTTAGCAAGTTTCAAACTTATGAGCAGTTTTTAATTTTCTGGTTCATATTATCTCTTATTATTTCCTACAGCACGTGTCAGTTTTTCTTTTTATCCGTACAAGCTGCACTTTTGTCATTTAGTCCTGTCTGTTGTAAATCAAAATGGAACAAAATTGAACATATTATACATCTGCTATTTTCAAAGCGATTTCTTGATTTATCTTCATCAGGAATAACCAATAAAATGTGAAAGCCAAAGATGCATCAATGCTTAAATACTGTTTTACCAAAATGTACACAAAACGAAAAAAAAACAACTTTTATCTAAGATCAACTTTGCATTAAACGCGAATTTATTGACGCGGACGTACGTATACAATGGAGAAATGACTTTAAATTTTATACGACTGTCATACAAGTGAGAGGTTAAGCTAACTATAAAACCAGGTTTAATTCACCATTTTCTACATAAAAAAATATATGTACCAAGTCAGGAATATGACAGTTGTTATCCATTCGTTTGAAGAGTTTGAGCTTTTGATTTTGCCATTTGATTATGGACTTTCCGTTTTGAATCTTTCTCGGAGTTCGGTATTTTTGTTATTTTACTTTTTAAACATTGACAATTATTCATGAAATTGTTTTGGAAACAGAAAAAAAAACACAGTTCTTTTCAGTAGAACTTACATTTGTTTCAAATAACAGTGTTGGTAATCCTAAACTTTGGCACTTTTATCACTTTTGTCTAAGTTTCCTAAATTTATGAGACGGTTTGACAGAGTTATTGATGTATGAAAAACTTTAGAATTACACTGTATCTAAATTTCATTACTGCAAAAAAACTTTGTTCATTTATCAGTAAAATACAGAAAAATGAAAATAAAATATAATAGCAATATTTTCAAAAGTGTGCTCTGGACACTCTTTCATGTCTACAACAACTAAAACACAACACTTTGGTCAAAATGGAAAACGACAAGAAATAAAATGGCAGTCCACAAAACACTAAAAATATAATTAAATGTTGGGCGACACGAATGCTACCAAAAACAGAATTGAACTCAGTTGCTCAAGAATGTTATGTGCTTTGTCAGATGGAAGAATTAAGAACATATGTTTCCATCACTTATTAAATCTCTCCAAATCATCCATGATTTTTTTTCTGTGAACGTCGCGCTCACAAGTGTGACTGACAGATTGATAGAAAGAAAGACAAACATGTTTGTTGAAAAAAATCTTGTTGAAAAAAAATCTTGTTGAAAAAAAATTTTGTTGAAAAAAATTTTGTTGAAAAAAATATGTTTTCGTTTCATTTCTACATTTCTACATTTTCTGCTTGTCTCATACATATATTTTAAACCTTTATGAAATCATCAGATCAAAATTCAATGTCAGTATGACAATCTGATCAAAAGATACTCACAATTATTAGGCACGCCTTTTCTCTGATCGACATTTATGTAAACTGTATTGATTTATAACTGTGTGTTTAGTAAGTCATGTGAAACTGGCTTGTTTCGAAGTTGTTTTCAAAATGTAAAATTATATGAATGGAAAGCAAAATATACGGAAGCCGATAAGGGCCATTCAAAAAAAAAG